TTTAATATAAGCGTCGAATCTGGTGTGTTTCCTGATTTAATGTAACATATTAAAGTCATACCTATATTTCAATCTGGTAGTACATTAGACCCCGCCAATTTTAGACCAATTTCTGTACTACCAACATTAAGTAAAATTTAAAAAACAATTATTTTAGATCAGATGTTAAGTTTCTTTAATATAAATAAATTGCCACATAAAAATCAATTCGGTTTTATAAGGGGTCGCTCGACAACTGACGCTGGAGTTGAGCTTATTAAACATATTTTTTGTGCATGGGAAAATTCAGAGGATACTTTGGGTACATTTTGTGACCTTTCCAAGGCCTTCGACTGTGTTCACCATGAGACATTAATCAGGAAGCTACAGTACTATGGTGTCAAGAACACAGCGCTTAAACTTATTATTTCATATTTAAGTAATAGAAAGCAGAAGGTTATTATCAATGGTAAAAGTTCTTCCGGGTCACCTGTACTAATGGGTGTTCCTCAGGGCTCGATTCTCGGCCCATTCCTGTTTCTGGTGTATATTAATGACTTACCTCACCTTGTAGGGGATAATCATGATATAGTATTATTTGCTGATGATACTTCCTTGATTTTTAAACTTAAACGTCAATCATTTAAATGTAACGAAGTGAATAATGCTATATCAAAATTAGTGCATTAGTTTAACGTTAATAATCTGCATTTCAACGGAAATAAAACTAATTGTGTTAAACTTACAACAACCAATGTTAAAAATCTGAATATCAATGTGTTTTTAAATGGGGAGGAATTGAGCCCTGTTGTATCCACTGTTTTTCTTGGCATCACTCTTGACGCAAAGCTTCAGTGGGGCCCCCATATATCCAAATTAGCAAGCAGACTAAGTTCTGCAGCCTATGCTGTAAAAAAGATTAGAGGTCTCACTAGTTTCGAGACAGCGAGATTAGTTTATTTTAGTTATTTCCATAGCATAATAAATGTCTTATGGGATTTTGCTATGGGGAAATGCGGCTGATTCAGAAACTATTTTTGTTTTACAGAAGAGGGCCATTAGAGCTATTTACAATCTAAAACCGAGAGAGTCTCTTAGAGATAAATTTAAAGAAATTAATATATTAACTTTGGCCTCTCAGTATATTTACGAAAATTTAATGTATGTTTACAAAAACAAAGATAGTTTTAGTAAAAAAAGTGATATACATTCTGTAAACACTAGGAACAAACACAAGCTAGTGATGCCAGTTTCTCGACTCCACAGAGTCAGTAATTCATTCTTGGGGCAATGTATACGCTATTACAACAAGGTCCCGAAAAGTGTACAGGTTCTCTCTATTACCAAGTTTAAATGTTTTATTAAGCTGAAACTGTATAAAAAGGGTTATTATAGTATAAATGAATACATGGTTGATAATAACCCCTGGGAATGAGGTGGTCGCTTCCAAGCAGTTTCTAAAATAAATTTTGTAAATAGTTCGTAATCATTTATATTGTAAAATTTATTTAAAAAAAAGTCCCGCTGGGTTTCTTGCTGGTTCTTCCCAGGACAGAGGGTTTTTTTTCGAACCAGTGGTAAAGTAAAAAATGACTTTCAATAAGAATTACACATGTAATATATATTGAATAAAAATTATTATATTCTATTCTATTCTATTCTAAGAATTGCAATCGAAGACTGCCAATATTTTTTATTGGCAGCCTCCCGTTAACATACATTCGTTTTGCGTAGGCCGGCTTTTGTTCACAGCATCATTGTAAAGTAGGTCCATGTGCTTTGAGTGGCTTTGCATTTATTTGCAAACAGTTTTATTCCAAATAACATTTTATATACTCATTTTCATTTTAGAAAAAGTCCTTTTCGAATAGAATATCTAGGAATTTAAAGTTAGAAAATTAAATGTTACGTGTTTGTTTATCATCATCTTTATTATTACAGCATATAAAAGTTCAGTGCTGAACATAGGCCTCCACCATAGATGGCCTCAAAGGAGGGTTATTTGCCATAGTTGCCACGCTTGGCAGGTGGATTGGCAGCCGCAGTTTTTTTTATATTTTGAGTTGTTATCAGGAAGATGCCCCATTTCATTTCCCTCTGTTGTCTCTAACGATTCCCACGGGATGATATTGGGTAGTGGATCCCCTTACGCCGCCACTAGGATTCTTACAAATGAGATAAATAAAAATTTATATAGCGAAGACAAAATTGTTTAGAATACTATGTGTTAATTAAAAACTTTGCCAGCTTAAAGTATTGTTGATGATTTTTTGGCAATAACTGACTAAATTAATTGCATTGTTTGTACAAGCCAAAGTAACTAACAAGTAAGCAATCTACCTGATCGTTGGTGGTTGCTGTGACACAAAGAAATTAACATCCATCCCCGACCAAGCCGATATGCGAAAAACATCTCGCTGTCAAATGGGCAGAGTATAAATTAGTCAGGATTGTGAACCGATCACTACAACACATTGCTGGGGTCGTATGACGCGGTCTGTATAGGAATAGAGCATGCATGGACTCGCGTGCAATTGTTTAGTTTTTTATGTTATTATAATATTTTAAGAAAAATTTAAGTTATGTAAATTAATTATTTAAATTAACTGGGTAAGATAAATATTTCATGTAAAGTTTTGAAACTGAATTAATTTTTCGACAAAGAAAATTCGAATATAAACGAAGTATTACTTCATTTAATTTATATGGAATATTATAAAAACACCGTTTGACCCATTACGATTAATCTTTGGTGGGTGATTGTGTGTAGGATTAGAAAAATTGGTATACTGAATTCATAATTCGAAATAATTTATAAAAAATAGTTTATAAAGTATTAAAAATATTTTTTATACTATAATAGGATAGGTAGTAAATATAGGCTTCTTCTGAAATTTATTCAGAAAAAATAATACAGACATCAAAAAACTATACCTCGATAGTGGTACCATTTAAATGTGATTAAAAATGTTACAAGGGCTAACTTTGAAAAATAAATCTATCGAGCAAAGTGTTTTTAGGATAGGGTGACAAACGAGCACACTGTCCACCTGATGGTAAGTGGTTGCTGTGACCCATAGACATCTAGATTTATCCTCTATAAATAATCAAAATGTAGATGCGTCGTCACCCGTGGGGACTAAGATGGAATGCCTCTTTTCCAGTAAAATGGGTTTCCGGTTTTCTACACTCACCATACGAAACACAGCAGTGTCAAGCTGCCATTTTACGCTGGTATTCTGTGAGAGCGTGGTCCTTCCCCGGTCGAGCCGACCCATTCGTGCTACAACTATACTACTAATATAGCTGCAGCATGGCTCTACCACGTATAAAAGTTTCACCAATCAAATAATCATTACTGGAATATATAATATAAGTCTTTTTGCCATTACTAATAAAATATGGTCATACGAGACTAAAATAAATCGCACATCCTCTTAAGAATCATGCTTGTAGTCTAAAAAGGAATACATAATCTTCGTTATCTGTAATAGGAGCTCCAGTTCATCTTACAGAAATTAGCATTAGGCTATATTTGTTTCTTAGCGAGTGTGCTTAAATAAACAAAAATGAGACTTTATGAAGACCGTGCCAATTTTTAATGATTAATAATTTAAACACAGGTACATGAAGTACCTGTATCGAAATTATTAATAATTATACTATTGTAATATGTATACATAATACTATTGTATATATGTATATATTTGTATATATGCAGTATTATGATACAACGTTAAATCCATCCGTTTATAGAAAGTATTGAAAACCGATAAGCTCACTGTTCATTGGTATAAATAAAGTATCATATGTCTTATTTCATAACATATTATTCCTCTGACTAAATAAACTTTAACATTTTTTATAATATAGAAAGCTTAGTAAAAGTTTAATTCTTACCCAATATTGGCATATAACGAACAGTTTCTATATACGTTTTCTTGCTGCCTCTGCTGGTAGTGTGCGTACGAAGTCATGTTCTGGGAGTGAGCGTGACAGACTTCGGTGTGCTGTTGGGGCATTGTATTACTGCTGCACTGCCGTGACGACACGTAGTCTGAAGACTTAGTCCTAATGGTAACATAAGACAACCTAGTGATAATATCGAATCTACAATAAGGAAGCTAAGCCAGCACCTTTAATATTGTTATCCAAAGAATTAAAATGCAGATGCGATTGTTATCCAAAGCGAAGCTTCTTTAAAAATGCAGCTGATACCGAATTAGTTATCTCATAAAATTATTTGCACGCACTCGCACACTCACACGCACTCACGCACATACGCACGCGCGCAATCTCTACGCAGTAGGTAATTAGTACTAATTTTTAGATCAATATGTAAATTGCCTGTTCCTAAACTCTGAACCGAAAATTCTCAAACTGGCGATACAAAATGCCCTCATCAAGTCCCCTTCCCACAGTGGCGAAACCAAGACCAAATCAAAGTGTCGCAAATCATTTTACATTCTTGAAATGATCTCTGTCCCGCAGTAGAATTGAAAAGTCTATTAATGTGAAGATGATGCTTGTTTATAATTATAAAGAATGTCTAAAAAATCATTATTATATGATATAAAACAGTAAAAACTGTACCAGATATTTAAATGGCACCTCAGTTATGTTTAACCTTATAAGTTTACCTTGGTTGCCCGAGGTGTTAGTTAATATCTTGAACGCGTTAGTATAACTGGTTTATGTTAACGTTATACTAAAAGCGCCCGTTAACGTCGGACATGAACAGAAATGTACAAAATGCTTTAACTTACGAGTATATAACAAGGATACTGTTTCGGGATGCCTGTTATATTATCTTCAGACATAAACTCAGCTTAGTATTTAGAACAGTAGAAGGCGTGTAATGACTGTATGTACATATACATATGAGCAAATTATACTTAGGTATCTTGTTTTTAAAGTTCGAGCCCATAATGAAAATTGGAAATGCACGTATTGTTACTTAAGACGCTATAAGTTCATAAAGGATTTAATTGAAATGAAAGTAAATTTTAGTCAAAACTTACCAGTTAGAGTTAGAGCTCGTTCGACTTTGCGGTCGGGAATTGAGATTCGCTTCAGAGTAATATGGCCAGGAATAGTTGGAATTGGTACGCTGGCACGCGTGAGCAGCCACATGTGACGAATTAGAACTAGAGGACGGTTGCAGCTCGTTTTGCATTTGTTGTAGAATATCGTCGGATGCTGCCAATTGCTGTTTCACTGCTATACCTCGGACCGCGGGTCGACGGTGGAAACCTGACAGAAAGACAAATGATAAAAAATATTAGATAAAATGGTTGACCTTAGAACATTACATTAATGTAAATGTTTTTGTCTTATTTATGTATCACTATTTGTTTTTCTCTTGTCCCGCACATCACTCCCGCCGTGCGACCGCGTCGCATCAGCTTCCGGTGCGGGCTCGACGTCCGTAGATAGAGGCAGGATCACAAGCTTCCTTACTGGCCGGCGTAGGACACCTCCCTTAGTTAGCACGTCCACAGTCCGCACGACGTTGTCGGGACCCGGATATGTAGCGATGACTCTTCCTCGTATCCACACGTTGCGAGGCAGGTTGGGATCGACGATCTGTACGAGGTCGTCGACGCGTGCTGCTTGGCCTTGTCCGTGGGGCTCCCGCCGGTGTTGAAGCTCAGGGAGGTACTCCTTCACCCAGCGTAACCAGAAGGTGTCGGCTAGCCTCTGCGCAGCTCGCCAACTTGACCGTGAGAGGGCGTCTCGTTCGGTGAAAGTGCCTAGCTGTGGTACTCGTCCCGGTCCTCCCAACAAGAAGTGGTTAGGAGTGAGAGCTTCGGGATCCTCTGGACTGACTGAGACGTGAGTCAGCGGTCGGCTGTTGACGGTGTATTCCACTTCTACCAGTAGTGTCGTGAGGACTTCCTCCGTCGGATGACGTTCGTGCAACGTCGCGATAAGAGCGGTCTTGACGGAGCGAACCATTCGCTCCCGGGCTCCGCCCATAAATGGAGCTCCAGGCGGGATGTAGCGCCAGGAGATAGTCCTTTTTGCTGTTTCTTCTGCGGTCGCTGCGTCGACCGCCTGTCGTAGTTCCTTATCGGCTGCCTTCAGGTTGGTGCCGTTGTCTGACCATATTTCTGTCGGGCAGCCTCGCCGTGCGATCATCCGCCTTATGGCCATTACCGCGGAGTCAGCGCTAAGTGAGCCGGCAACTTCTAGATGTATGGCTCGCGTAGTGAGACATGTAAAAATGGCCACATATCTCTTTTGTCGAGTTCGTCCGACGGTCACCGAAAGAGGTCCGAAATAGTCCACCCCGGTGTAGGTGAAGGGGCGCTTGTGGTGAGCTAAGCGACACGTTGGCAGGTCCCCGGTTCTCGGATGCGGCGGTACTTGCGTCTTCATTCTGCAGAATAGGCATTTTCGTAGTATTGTGCGTACGATAGGGCGCAGTCTCAGTACCCAATACTGCTGCCTGCACTCGTTAACTGTGGCTTCTACACCGGCGTGATGGAGTTGCCGATGTATAGCCTGCACCCAGAGCTTGACTGTGTGATGATCACCGTCAATTATCAACGGGTTCTTGAATTTTTCCTCCATGTCGCAGACTGCTCGAATACGACTTCTAAGTCGTAGTGTGCCGTTTATTTTATTTTTCGTCGGCTGCTTCCCTTCTAGGAGTGTTGAGGGTATTCTGGCTAAGTTGAGGTTGAAGGTGAGTTCGTCCGAGTGGATCTTCCAAACAACACCCAGAACTCGTTCCATCTTTTCTTCTGTTTTGTAGAGTTCCATGTCTTCTGTCTGGCTGTCTTCTCCAAGTGTTTCTAGGAGTGATGCTGAGTTTGATTTCCACTGTTTCAACTCGAAGCTGGCTTTCATGTGCACGGCTCGTACACTCTTCGTGATGCGTTTGGCATCTTCGAGGGTTCTGAAGCTGTCCAAGTAGTCGTCGACGTAATGCTTCATTATGATGGCCGCTGCGGCTTCTGGGTGAGTTTCCCCGTGCTGTTTGGCGTTTAGGTTCTTGACGTATATTGCTGTCGAAGGCGAACTCGATACTCCGAAAATTAATGATGTCATTCTGTACTCTTCCGGAGGTTGGTTGTCTCGTCGAATCCCACGCCATAGGTACCGCAGTGCGTCCCTGTCTTGTTCTCGCAACTTGACTTGCATGAACATCTCTTTGATGTCCGCCGTAACCGCGATCATGTGTTGTCGGAAGCGCATGACGACACCTGGTAGCGATTGTAGTAGGTCGGGCCCTTTGAGTAGCATGTCATTAAGTGCCACCCCTTTGGTCTTGGCTGCGGCATCGTGTACCACCCGTAATTTCTCCGGTTTCATTGGGTTGACTACTGCAAAGTGAGGTAGGTACCAAGTTTTGTCAGCTGTCTTCTGTTTTGGGGCGGGTTCGGCGTACCCCTTTGCGACGAGAGCGTTCATTTGTTCCACGTATTTCTTCTTTAACGTGGGGTCACGATCGATCTTCTTTTCTATGTTGAAGAGCCTCTTCAGCGAGTTTTCGTAATTGTCTGGTAACTTGACATCGTCTTTGCGCCAGAGAAGACCGGTCTGGAATCTTCCTTCTTCTGTCTTCGTTGTGGTCCTTTCCAAGATACGAAGTGCTTGTTCTTCTGGATCAGTCTTCGGTCTCTTGGGCTTTATACAAAGTGCGTCCATCTCGAAGTATCGCTTCACGAGGTCTTCCAGATTCTCCTCTGGATCTTCTACGATGTGTGACACGAAATCGATGTTCCGTCCGAAGCTTCGTGTCTGGCTGCCGTGGAGTACCCAACCTAGTGGCGTGAGAGATGCCACTGGGTGGTTCTTGTCTCCTTTTCTTACTTCCGATGTCAGCAGAAGATGCCAGTTATCTTGTCCGATCAGCACTCGTGGCTTGGCGTTTGCATATGTGAGACGTCCTTGGATATCAGAGAGGTGTTGACACTCCTCCACTAGATCCTGTGGGACCCGTTGAGATGAGACTTGCAGGTTCTTCACTGTGCGTGCTTGTATTTGTTCTTCATGATCGTTGAGCCCCTTTAGTTTGATGGTGACTCTCCTCGATGCTGACTCCGATACTTTCTTGTCGTTGATGGTTTCTATCTTCAGTGGGTCTATGGGGCCCGTTGCTCCGACGCTTGTTACTATACTATCGTCGACGAGCGTGACTGTTGAGCCGTCGTCCATCAACGCGAAGGTGTTGACAGCTCCTTTTGGTCCTTTGACCTGGATCGGTAGGATTTTTAAATATGATTGCTTCTTGACGGTCCAGGTTGAGTTGATGACCTCTGTTGCCCCTTGATTTTCTTTTGCTTCTGAATCTTCTGACTTCTTTTCGTAATGCAGCATCTTGTGGTGAGAGTACTTGCAGCTGTTGACATTACATGGCTTGGGTCGGCAGTGGTGTGTCTTGTTCCTATAGCGAAGACACCTGAAACAGAGGCGCTTGGACTTGGCCATGTCCCATCTTGCATTTGCATCTAACTTCTTGAATTGTTCACATTCTGTGGCGTTGGTGTGCCCCGTATCTTCACATACGACGCATCTTGGTATGTATGTCTTCTCAGTCACGTTGTTGATCCTTTGAGTCTTCCTTTGTGGTGCGGCTGTAATAGGCGGTGTCATCTGTTCGGGCAGCGCGTAGGGTCCATACAGTTCTGCTTCCATTTTGAAGAACTTCTCTATCTTGATGAGGCAAGGGTCTTCACGTGGCTGCATGGCTGAGAAGTCGTAGTACCTATAACGCAGAGTTGGCGTCAGTTTGTCTACTATTGTCTTCGCGAGTTCAGGATTGTACATGTAGTTAAAACAACCCAAAGTCTTCAGTGTCGCCACTACGTTGGAGATCTTGGTGGCGAATATGCATATGTCTCTTGGTGACTCAGTAAGGCGCGGCAGACCTCTAAGCGTCTCCATCTCCAGCATGGCTATTGACTCTGGTCTTCCAAATCTTGACTCCAAAGTCTTCATTACTTCAGCCGGGTGTGCGTTGGTCATAAGTAGGCCTTCAACTGCTTCCTTGGCCTTCCCTTTCAAGTTTCTTCTGAGTCGATTCGTATTTTCAACTACGCTGAATGTCGCTTCTGTCTCGTAGTAGGCGGCGCGAAAGGGTAGCCATTCCTGATGAGACCCGCTGAAGAATGGTAACTCGACGAACTTAGGTCGTTGGGCGGCGCTGACAGCCCGAGTGATGGCTTCAGCCAGGAGGGCTACGTCAGTTTGACCTCCCGCCGGTGACTGATGTGTTTCTTCGTGCCTTGGTTCTTCTGCGTGGGCGGCTGTTGGTTCTTCTATGGCATGGTGAGGTTCGTTGGTGATTGCTAACACCGGGCGATTCACTTGATTCTCCAACCAGTCGTCCACTCTTGTATTGACTTCTGATCTTGAGTAGAGGGATGCGTCATCTTCTTCTTCCTCCTCCTCTTCTGAGTCTTCCCTTTCTAAGGCAGCAAGGCGTGCTGCGGCTAATTCCACTTGAAGGCGTAGTAAATCTTCTTTCGCCTTTGCAAGCTTGAGCTGCTTCGTTCTACTGCGTGTAGATCCCCCTCCACCTCCCTTCTTGCTGGGCGGGCGGGGTTCCTGTAGCCCGGTTTGCTTTGATGGACCGGCGGTGCTTCTTATGGCTCGCTTCACTGTAGAAGTTTCTGTTTCTCGGTGAGTTGCTCTGGTGACAGTAGCGGGCGGCTTCATCAGCTGTTTGGCCTTCGCACCCGCAGTTAGTGTCGTCGCCGCGGATGGTGTTACGGAAGGAGCGACGGCGCTGGCGGGGTGCGTGGCGGGGGCGGCGGTTGCGGCTGAGGCTGAGGTGGCGGCGGACGAAGTGGTCGCTGCGGTGGCGGAAGTCACGGTGGATGGATCAGTCGCCGCGGAGGTGTCTGTATACTCCGAAGTCTCCGTGGCGGTCGTCCCTGTAGCTGTTGATTCCGTACTGGCTTCCGCACTGGTGGTACCGGTCGCCGAGGTGGTAGCCTTGGACGACGACGGCTTGCTGCCCCTTCCCTCAGAGCGCGTAACGGCCATGCTGTCAGCTGACTTTTTCTTCGAATAATCTTGAGTCTTGAAAAACGATTTCCGAGGAGTCTTCTTAATTATTTTTCTTCAGGTAATTATTCCCCACAAGATCCGGCTCGAAGGACCATTAAATGTGCCCTACAGGCACATTTGTGTGCTGGATTGGTGGAGAATAAAACCGCTGCGATATTTTTCTTTCTTCTATATTTGGTGTTTTCCTTGAGGTAGCTGGCCGCCGACTGTGTCGAACGACGAAAATCGCCCCTCTTTTATACCGCCTCGGGCTGGGTCAATGGATACGGCCGACGCATCGTACAAATGGCGTCGACCAATCAGCGCGAGGCGTGACAGAGCAAGTGACGATGCTGAGTCCCGTTACATTGTTTGTCTTAAGCTAGTTCTATATCTTACTGAGTCATTGTTTACATTGTTTACCTTAAGCTAGTTCTGTTATACAAAGTGACCAACTAATTTTATTACACAAATATAAGCTCTACACTATTATTTTCTTAACATAAAATGCTTATATCCTATCTAAACTATAATCTCTATTAATATAAATGTTTATCCTATCTAAGTACAAACTAACTATAATATTTATTCCATTAATATAAATGTTTTTGTCTTATTTATGTATCACTATTTGTTTTTCTCTTGTCCCGCACAATTATTGCATACCCGATATGGGTAAACTGTGTAACATTTAATTGCAATGTCACCCGCAAATCGTACATACACAGCTTATTGGCAATAAATATTCTGATTCTGATTCTGATTCTCACATGAGTGTTCCCAAACGAACGGAAAAATTACATAAAAGTTAATTTTATTTTTACTCTAATTAGAACTGTTTCCTGTCTCGTTACAACAGGAAATTGGACCGATCCAAATGATAAATAACCAGAATTTGATCCTTGCCGGCACCAATTAAATTTTTTAACTGTATTTGTAGATAAGTGTTTTTCACGTGTTCGGTGGTGCAGGAAAATATCGCTAGGAAATCTGAGAAATACATAACTTTCTGAGAAGTAAAAAAATATTTCTAGGAATAGTGAAATCCTCCAACCCGCATTTAGCCTTAGAATTTTAGCATTAGCACGCTGATTTTTTTTATAAAACGAACGTGTGAATACGAAAATGACGAACTCCTTTTTGCCACAAACCGCAACATCCTGTGCAGATGTAGGAAGCAATGTACATGGTGTTACTTTAATTTTTTCACTGTTAAAGAGAATATAGAAACGAACGGCCCTTGGCCGAATAATGCTGTTAATATATTATTATGGTTAGCGAAAATAGGTGGAAATACATTAATGGAATTTTGAAATGTGATTGAACGGAAAAAAATAAGTGTCTAATTATTTATGGTGCTAATTAATAGGGTCAATGTTACAGATCAAATATTGACAATGATTCCAAGACAATAACCCTTTCTAAGTGTACATCGGAAGATGTGTCCGTTACCAAAAAAAGTTACAAACAGTGTTGCCATACGTATGATTCACATGTTTATGACAAATGTACTCACGTATAACGCAAATCTGTACAATGAATACAATGAAACTGTCAATCCTGAAAAAAATATTTCTTTGTATATGGAAACTGCATATTATAACTATACCAAATTTCAATCATCTTAACTCAAGATGGAGAAATCTATGGAGAAACATCTGCAACAGATAGAACGAGAGACAAAGACACCGAGGTGGTTCTACAAGTGTTTCTATTGCTAATTTTAGCACCATACACTAATGATGTTGCTAAACTGAAAGTGGCTTCACTCACGTGTGCTTAAGTTTATAAGGCTGGTAGATATTCCATTTTACAAGTGTTAATGGTAGCCATTTAACATCAGGGAAATTTATATATTCCTACTATGGATGTATGTTCATGTGCCATTTTTGGTAGGTATGTGAAACACCTCCATGACACAGAAGGAATCCCTAATGTAGGTACTCTTTTAATGAACAAACTGAGTACACTACAAACTATATCTTTTTTTACCAATGTAAATGGCATCAGTCTGCCTCAGCATAGGCTTGCCTATTGAGGCTTTTTAAGCTCTTTGGTAATAACAATTTGTAGTTAACATGAGTAAATTAAATGTTAAAAGAAAAACAAATATGGTAAATGCATATAGTGTTAAAAGTACTATTGAAATCAACACACTCACTAATCATTTTTTCTAAAACGTTATACCGAAATTGTACCCGTCTAAAAGATAGCTTCGCCTTCTAATAATAGAACTTACACAGAAAATAATAGTATATTAAGTTTCAGGAAGTGCTACTTTATATAAAGCTGCGTATTGATGTGAGAGATTGTTATTTAAAATTTATCACTGGTTTTATTTACTATTTATCACTGTTAAGCGAACTGTACATATTATATTTATGTGTTAAATAAATGTCTAACTTGAGCCAAAAAAACAATACTTCAGTGATCAATTATAGATACTGGTAAAAAAATAATTATATAAGTTATAAAAAATTACGAGTGTTAAAAAATATATTTAAAATGCATTATTGTTTTAATATTTCCTCTATTGAGAGATATCAGAATAAATAGTTACCATAGTCATCGTGCTCGTCGTCGCTGCTGACTGGCTGTGACTCTTGGCTGTAACGCTGCCTAAGACGCTCTGTCCTAGGAGCAGATGCTCGAGCAAACGCCGCGAGTCCGTCGTCTCCGTCGTTAGCTCCTAGAGAAAGTAAAAACTTGACAAGCGAATTCATCCATCTCCTCAATAACCATAGGCACTACCAAGCACTCAATACGTTTAGAATTTAAAGTAAATTAGAAAATAAAAGTTTATATTGTCTTCAGGATCTCATGTAGACTTAACAAATTTTGAAAAGAAGTACATCCATTCCAGCCTATAGTCTGTCCTATTTACTGCTGAATATAGGTCTCCCCTTAGATTACCTCGTAGGGAGGATATTTGCCATGGTTGCTACGCTTGGCAGACGCATCGGCAGTTGCCAACAGTTTGTTGTTGCAGATTTTTTCCAGTTGTTATTATATGTAGGAAGACTTTTTTTTTATCGAATTAGGGTGACAAACGAGAGTCCACCTGATGGCAAGTGGTTACTGTGGCCCATAGACATCTACATCTATCTTCGTTTGCGAATCAAAATGCAGATGCGTTATCACCCGTGAGTACTAAGATAGAATGCCTCTTTTCCAGTAAGACAGGTCTCCTGTTCTCTGCACTCACCGTACGAAACACAGCAGCATTAAGCTGCTATTTTACGCTGGTATTCTGTGAGAGCGTGGTGCTTCCCCGGTCGAGCCGACCCATTCGTGCTACAACTATACTATTTATATAGCTGCAGCATGGCTCTACCACGTAAAAAAAGACTACATGAGTAAAGAAACCATAAGGTGGTAATGCTTCTATGGAGCTGTCAAATTTTTTACCTATTTTGGTAGGGTTGACACAGAGGTTAAAAATAATTAAAAAAACGTTTATCAGCTTTTTAATATATAGTACATAAGATAGAATATTTTTTTACAAACTACTTATTCTAAGTATTTTATTTTTATAATTTTTCTTCTTCAACAACTTGTTGTGCCTTTTCATTAAATGGTAATTTTTAAATCAGTACAGTTTTTTTAAAATAATCTATAGGAAATTACTGAAAGACACGTTTTAATATTTCATTACCAATATTGACAATATTTCTTTCGAGACCAAAATGTTCGCGAAATTTTTGCTCAAGCAATTCAACAAACGCGATTAAATTGTCAGGAGGTATTAATTTTTAAATCACCCGATTGAACACTATCTTCATTAAAATCCTTGTAATGGTTTAAAAATAATCTTTTTCCATATTTATAGTTTGTTCCGATCCACTAAAGTATAATTTTATTTTCTCAGATATGTGGTGTTCGAGACATTTTCTATTCGTATAGAAATTGTAAATTGTATTTTAATGGATCTAAGCAACCTATAAATATGGGAAAAGATTCTTTTTCAACTATTGCAAGGATTTTACCAGAAAAACCATTTATTTTCTGGTAAATCGGCAGCAACAGCTTCAGGTTGCGAAATTTGTGACGGTTTATTAAAAATACGAAAGTTGTCTGGTTCCATAACTAACATAATTATGGAAGTCGTTATCACATCAGTTCCTTAAAAATTTTAGCATTTCTTAAACTCTTATATTTATTAGGAGATCGCAGTGTACTTGAGTTAAATAAATAAAAAATGTTATAAATTTTATTTACAAAAACCAGCGGTATCTCTCGCTGCAACCTCGATTAATAAATAGCTGATGCTACAGTTCGGCTCAAGACCTGTGTGGCTACTTTCACACACACTTTCTGAAAATTATTACGATTTATATGAATATCAGTTATTTTTGGTGGTTTCTTCATTATATACTTCTAGTTTTAGTTCTCTAATATGTAACCATTTTGCTACTTTATTGTCAAAAATAAGTTATATGTATTTAAATTTTTTCTCACGCATTGTAAAACATGCGGGACATCAAAATGTAATAAATTCTGTGTCCGTCAATATCAAAATATGTTTTATCCCTGCTCACGGAACGCCAGTATGAAGTCTGAACCTATACCTGAGATAAGGATGCGTATGTCTAGATCATTATTAACTTAGTAATGATGTTATAATTTCGTCATTCGAATCAATAATTCTGGATAATTTTTCATTCAACAGCAACATATTTAGCTGGTTCTTTTTTTTTGAATCCCATTTATTTCAAGGAATCCTACAATTGTATCGTTTCTGATGTCATAAAACGGATTGGCCTTCAAAGACATGCAGTCCACACAAATACTGCAAATTTTCTCTTCCAATCCTATTTTGTACTATTTTTATTATTGTAATACCTTAGTTTTTAATGCACACAACATACGTTCGTCTACCTTTTTACCTATTTGCTTAACTAATTTTTGTAAGGTGACTATAAAAGGTAAACAAAATGTATTCCAAGATATCTGTACGCTGTGCAACGGAGTAATTTAGATGGAGTGCGAAAAATTTAAAATTTGGTTAAACTGGTTTCCGCGATAATCTGCCTTCATATCTATTTAAGAAAGTACGGTTACAGTCCTTTTACGTCCCACTGCTCTCATTTCTGAAAGCGTCTTAAGGCAAGGAAAAGTCCGCCGCACTGCCCAATGCGTGTTGGCGCACATCACATTTCATCGAAATATTTTTTTTATTATTTCTCAGACATGCTGGTTTCCTCACGATGTTTTCCTTCACCACCGATCACGTGGTAAGTCAGCATTTAAAATTGCAATTAACAATTTTATTGGTGCTGGCGGGGAACGAACCTGGGTTGCTCACGTACTGTGAAATCATATCTAACATAATTTGAGACACACAATTAGTAAAAAAAATTATTACACAATTTTAAAAAGTCTTCGTAATTACACTATCTTATTCTTATATTTATGTTTTTTTGCATTTCGAAGTTCAAGTGATAGTAACTCTTTCTTGGAGTGTCCGCTGAAAGCTGAAGTATTGTTTGTGCCGATCTACTTTCACAAGTTTTCTTGTCATTGGTCTGAATGCCGTGAGAAGTTTGATCTTCCTAGATATTTATTTTATTAAAAGGATTCTTTGAACTTGAAGATATCTCAGTGGTCACTAGTAGTTATAAAAGAATTTTCTTGCACATTTATTTCAAATACATTCTCAGATTCGCTGGAACTCGAACAAGCGCCGTCATTTGTCGGCAAGTTGTGTTGGAAAAGCATTTCTATATAAATATTTTACAGTTCTCTTTTTAGAAAACTTAATACAGGATTTTCGAAGTGATCCTCAAAGATTCTATATTGTTGCCATTTTAAAAATCAGAAAGTTTTGAAAAGGACATCTTCTCATCCGAAAGCTTTTACCACTCTTGTCTGAAATAATAATAAAAAAAAATATGAACCTAAGTATTTAATTAATAAACGTAATTATTCAATTATAAACATTATAAAAATTACTATTCAATCACTTATAGGTAGGTACTACGTTTCCTTTCAATGTTAAGGTAGGTATCTATATCTACCACATTAAAAATAATAAATTATATTCAAGTTACTACTCACCAAGTGAAGTTTTTGGGATAGATTAAAAATGATATATTTTTACTTGTTCTATTATTATTCATATACACAGTTCAGTAAACCATATTTATACTTTTTTCCGTCCCCCTCGTGCTCTAATCCAGAGTCCCGAAACCTTTCAGCACGAGCTACAAAACTGTTTTCAGTGCCTAGAAGACTGGAATGCAGTGGACGATATGTATGACAAACTTGTGGAAACTGTCCATGCGGTCGGAGCTAAGTTCTGCAAGACCCGCCGCAGAAGAACACAAAAACTCTCCGATAACATTCTTAATCTCATGGCTGTTAGAGGGGAAATAAAGCTGCAGTCTTCAGCAGATTTGACAGCGTACAGGCAACTGAACAGACAGATTTCCAAATGAATGCGACGGGACTTACGCAACTTCAATACGTGAGTGGAACCAGGGCTCTCCAAAGTCTTTTATAGAGATCTGTCTGCCAGACAGAGCCAACTGTCCAAGCTGAAGACCGAGTGTGGCAGCGTCGTTACCGGGACATCTTAGATTTGAGTGAGATTGAGAGGTTCTATGGGTAGCTGTACACACCATCGTTGGAGCCACACGTAAGTGTGAATAACGATCCCAGAGTAAGTCTTATTCGAGACTATTCCGATGATATTCCGGACGTCAGTCTGAGCGAGATTAGAATGGCTCTCCAGCACCTTAAAAACGGCAACGTCTCAGGTGATTATGGAATTACAGTGGAGTTTCTGAAAGCGGGTGGAAAACCGGTACATAAGTTTATGAACCATTATGAGCAGTGTGAGGTGGTTTTGTTCTTCAAGAAAGGCAACAACGCTCTCTTGAAGAACTACAGACTGATTTCCCTATTGAGCCACGTCTACGTGCTGTTTTCGAGAGTCATTACGAATCGTCTCGCACGCAGACTCGACGACTTCCAGCCTCCCGAACTAGCCGGTTTCCGAAAAGGCTTTAGCACCATAGACCGCATACATATCCTTCGGCAAATCGTACTGAAGTCCGAGGAGTACAATTAGCCACTATGTCTGGAGTATGTGGACTATGAGAAAGCCTTTGTATCCGTCGAAATTTGGGCAGTGTTGCAATTCCTTCAGCGGTGCCAAGTTGACTGTCGGTATATCGAAATACTGAAGTGCTGAAGTAGGGCTACGATGTCTATCCGAGTACAGAACCAGAGTACGAAACCCATCCAACTGCATAGAGGTTTAAGACAGGGTGACGTTATTTCCCCGAAACTCTTTACCGCTGCATTGGAAGACGTTTTCAAGCTACTGGACTGGACAGGATACGGTATTAACGTTAAAAGTGAGTGCATCACTCACCTTCGATCTGCCGACGATATAGTCTCTAACGCAGAATCACTGGAGGACCTAAACACTATGCTCAATGACCTCAATAGTGTTGTCTTAGTCTCCCAACGGATAGGTCTTAAGTTGAACGTGGACAAAACAAAAGTAATGTGTAACGTTCATGTCACAACAATGCCGGTAAATGTTGGGGACACTAACCTCGAAGTTGTAGACGAGTATGTTTACCTGGGACAAATAGTCCAACTAGGTAAGCCCAACTTCGACCGAGAGGTCAATCGACAGATTCAACTCTGCTGGGCAGCGTTCGGGAAATTACTGCATATCTTCTCGTCAGGTATACCTCACAACTTAAAAACTAGACTGTACAACCAGTGCGTGTTACCAGTGATGACATACGGAACTGAGACGTGGTCCTTCACTGCTGGCCGGATGAGGAAGCTCAAGGTCGCTCAGCGAGCTATGGAGTTTCTCTGCGTGATAAACTTAGAAATGAAGATATCCGCAGTAGAACCAGAGTTATTGACTAAGCCCAATTATAGAGCATCAGTGAAAGACGACATCTCATATCCATATGTCATAATTGGTGGCGTGCACTAATTGTACACTGCAGTTTTCAAGTTTTTTTTATACTTGACTAGATGTGTCGCATTTCTTGCTATTTTAATAATAAGGAATTCGAATGAACTAAAAAGTGTCAAACACTGGAACGACTGCCGCGCGCGCCATGTTCGCTTAGTTGATACACTTGGAACATTCGGAACGCGTTCCGCGGAACGCACTGGTCAGCGCGGTCATTCATGGCGGGCGCGCCAGGGGCGCGTAATCGATACGCGGCTTTAAATTTATACAGTTCCACATCTATCAGTCGCGTGAAGCATCGTAAGATTATAAAAGAGCTTCATAGCGTCGTATCTCCGCTGAAATGATTCTATCTACCGCGTACAGCGCCGAATAACTGAGAAGCGATTATATGCTCACGATAAACTACTTTCATTTAGTATTTTGCCCTCAACATGGACGGACACAAGGGTGATATTATTATCGTTACGCTTCTTTCATACGAAGCAGAAAAACTGGAACGTAATAAACGGAAACGTAAACGACATTGGGTTTGGAGATAGGTACATAAATTTGGTTAAACTATACGCGACATTGATACCCGATTGAAAAGAAAACAATATTCAATTAGAAAAAAACATTTTCAGAATAATATTCAAAAATTTAACCTAATTGCAGAGCTATTGCACCCTGGTCGCAAAAGCAAAATACGAAATAATTTCTGTTTACACATTTCCTCGATGATTGCATGCGAAATGATTCGTCTGAAATCACAATTTTCGAACGCGGCTCAACAGCGCTGAATGTGTCGGAACAGCGCAGAACTATGATAGAAACACACTTTATGCCTGTATGCCGCGAATGCTGAATAGACGTGGAAGGCTGAACGGATGCGCACGCATCTCCATACAAAACTGGTGTTTTCTATGAACAAAGGCTGAATTAAGCTGAATAAGTATACGAGTAGTTTGTCCCTTAAGCGACGTTACATTGTAGGTATTTATTATAGAAAACAAAACGTCAATAAAACTAAACACAAGTGGTTTAGTAAAAACTTTAAGTAAATGTCTCCGTCATTAATGGAGTCCTTACTTTAAACAGGGTGTTACGTCTCTTTTCTGTCCAAGAGTTAGTCTGGATCGGTGCTTGCACTTTTGTGTTTCAATCTGAAGGTCATAGAGGTCCAGTTCAATGCTGTAGAGAGGCTGTGAGACATTCCATCTTAGTCCTCAAAGGTGGCAACGCAACTGCAGCTTTCTTTGTGTTAAGTGTGCATGTGTCCATGGACTGCAGTGACCAATTATCATCAAGTGGACTGTAGGTTCGTTTGTCACTTTTGTTTTATAAAACTGTTAACAAAGTTCAATTTAGAATTTGTTATGCTGAATTTTTGTTAAAATTTCTGTTATATACATATAGTTATATAAAAATAAATAATTTCATTAGTTGTAAATTTAGAATAAACCTGGTGTTCCAGCAACAACATCAGGAGCTGGCGCTTCATTATGCTCTTGTAGGTCAAGAGTCGTGGCTGCTGAAGCAGACGTTCTGTCTCCTGGAGGCACGTAGTAGAAGCCTTCGTGATGAGCGGCACTGCCTACGCAGGCTGTGAGCGGGGCCAGGGTGGATAAAAACTGCCGTCTTGGTTCCGATCTTGGCTGTAGAGAAATAACGTGTCTAATTCTGAATAACAAATTAATAGTAATGTAGCATGGAGAAGGCTTTATCAGTTAATGACGATAAAGTTCTCCCATTCTTCACCAGTTCGTAACAGTTCGTTATATAAGACATTTTTCGTTCCTGATAAAGGTACTCTTAGCAAGCGAATTTTACGTTACGATTATTCAAGTGTTCAAGGCCATTATCTAGCAGTGGAGTGTTAACTGGATGATGAGGATATGTTTAGTGGAAGCTGATACTCGCAAAATTATAGCTATTATACTTGCTTAACCACGATCAAAATAGCTAGCTACTTAGTACAGATTAAGTGAGATTATGCCATATTTGCGGGGAATGAATTGTGGCGAGCGTTCTCACAAAATTAATTCATCCATCACAATGGCGCCATTGAAATAGCAGCCGCCGGAAATTCCACTCATAAATCATTTAACGTGCGCCCTATCGTACGATGTGTTTTTTTCCAATCACTCGCGGCCATTGAAGTTACTGTTTTATTTTGAACTTTGAAGTATTCCTCTCTCACGTAGGAATTTTCATAAACTACATGATAGATAAAATTTCAAGTAGTATTGTGGCTGCTAGACGTAGTGATTCACTCATCGGCGGCTGCAGCCTGACTGGCGACGCAAACGCGTAAAGACCACTCGTATAAAATACCTGCGTAAAATAGCAGCATAATACTTTTTTTTTTAATAAAACAAGGGTGACAAGCGTGGCCCATAGACATATACATTTATCCTAAATTAAGAATCAAAATGGAGATGCGTTGTTCATCCCTGAGGACTAAGATGGAATGCCTCGTATACAGTAAAAAGGGTGTCCGGTTCTCAACACTCACCATACGAAACACAACAGCATTCAGCTGCAATTTTACGCTGGTGAGAGCGTGGTCGTTCCAGGGTTGAGCCAACCCATTCATGCTACAACCATAATATAGCTGCAACGCTGCAGAACCGGAGACCCTTATTACTGGTAAAGTAGCATCCCATCTTGGTTTTCAGAGGTGACAACTAATTTGCATTTTCATTCTTTATTAAAGCTGTGATTAGTTACAAACGTCTATAGGCTTTAAATCGTAGACAAAATAAACATTTTTTTTAATTAGACAGTGGAGAACACGAACACGACATGGATGAGGTGTCGCCCACAACGCACCGTGTCTTCTTGTTTTTATGTGAATGAAATATGGTTGAACCGTACACTACACGATTATTGAAATATATGTTCCGCAAATATGCAAATATCTCCCAGCTATGTTTGCTAGAATTAAATTCGATATTCCGTCATTTGTAGCGTTTGTAAACGTGTTCTATCGTAACGTTATTTCTATCGGTATTCGACATTATGTTTTATTTACATGAAGATCATTAAAATGTTCAAGTGTACTTTAACTTCATTGTTAATAAATATTCAATTTAAATATTATATTACTAGCAGCCCGTCCCGGCTTCGCCTGGGTGTTTAATTTTATTTATTTAATTATTTAAATTTTGAAATTATCTTCAAGGACCATTTATTTCATTAATATTTAGTTTTCACAAGAAAATCTCCAACATTTTTGGTTAAAATATCCCAGAATGTCTGTTCGGTCTTATCTTCTGTATGGCAGAAGTGAACGGTAGAGTCGGAAAGGGACGCCTCTAGGCGTAAGTTTATCGCGATATATTTTTACAAATTAAGAGTACCCTTAACCGACGAGCATGTATGCATAGGTATATGGATGTGGAGGAAGCGAGAGAGGTGCGTCAGGTTCATGCCACATATAAGTCCGTCCGTGAATGTTTTTGTATGTATGAAGTGTACAGTGACCAATTTTCGGCACTTTATCGATCATGAGATGAGATGAGGTGAGAATGAAGTATATCAGATAGTAGTATAGTAGTAACTACTATACTACTATCTGATATACATCATTCTCTATCAGCTAATACCTAATTGCAAATCACAGGAAACGTTTTCTCTTCAAATGATTAAATTGTTTCAGTTGTTTTTTTGTTCCGAACTAAGAATGTGCCTTTACGAGTAACCTTTCTATTTTTCAAAAGACGTAGAGGATTGCAGCGCTGTTACATCAAACAAAGCCATGTTATTTGCAACGTCGCCCCAAGGACATCTTTGTGTAATTGTAAATTCCGCATTGTTCTCACTTCCTTTATAATTGTTTCAAAAACAATTTTTACCATATAATTTTAGAATTTTTTGATAACGTAACCTTTCGGGAATAATAACACAACGGAAAGAAAATCTGCAATTTTAATCAAATAAAACTACCCTTAGTGGTTAAAAGTACATAAGCATTGTGTGCTTTATTAATTAAAGTGGTTCTTAGTGTGTTCAAGTAATTAAATATAATTTAAAAAGATTAACCTATAAGCTTAAAATTATGGAAGTCGATACGATTAAAATAAATTGTACTTAACGAAAACTAAAAAATGATACGCTTCACTCAGAACCAAGAACAATGTGGGCTATAAGCATGATTTCACATTAATCGATACAAATTAGTCTTTTGTAGCATTTTTAATTCAAAACCTACTCGTACGTGTCTCAAATGTATTTAAAACGTGAACGTGAAATAAACTTTAGGTTTATTTATTTATTGTAATAAATCGAGATCCTAAGGACCAAAATAATAGAAATTGTTTCCGGGCCGATGATTTTTACTGGACTTACAAAGATCTAAAATAATACCTTAATATAAGATTATTTAAAAAATCAAATTTTTAAAACTTAATTTTACAAATATCAATAGCCTTGTTGTCTTGAGATTTTTAACAACTACAAAAGAGAACTAGCTGACCAACGTCGAAATTTTAAATGTATTTTATGTGGTCAGTTGTAAAAATAACTGGAAAGGAATTGATTAAAAAAAACATTCCAAATCACAATTACATACGTTAAGGGTTTATTTATAAATTTCTATTTATACATATAAATAAAGTTGAAGCGTCCATGTATAATATTGAAATAATTTCCTTGTAATATAGTGAAAAAAAAAAACATGAATAAACATTGTTAAATTTTTTTGTCTATCTGTCTTTCTGTCTGTCCGAGCTAATCTTCGGAATGGCTACACCAATTGTAATAAAACTTGTTGAACCGATAGACAGGAGAGATTTGGAGATTTTTTGAAAAAAAAAAATACAAATTGATTCTATAAATAATCTTTGATTATCTTAAACCTCAATAATGCTAGATTAATAGTTCCTATTTCGAAGCCAGAGCGGGTCGTTAGTCGTTAAATACAAATGCTATGAACGAGTATACACATACATGATACATACACGAGTGTAGTCTGCAGGTGGCTCATGACAGGATTTTCTGTGGCCATCTTTGGGAGATGCTGTTCTGTAGTGGACATTTAACGGGGTTTGCGGTTTGATATTGAAATAAACAAAAACGAATGCTAATTAAAAACTAGATTTGGCTTGGCTTTCTAAATCTCAGTAAAGTCTGTTGTCAAACGAAAATCTTAGTAACAAATAAAATTTATGATTTATATTTCATACATTGTTAGTATGCCGTGCATCGGCAGGGATATATAGGGATATTTATTTGGAACGAGTAAATCACAAATCCATTTGAAACATTGGTATCCATTTGTAGCAGATTTTAATGATCTGTCAATTGATCCAATTGAGTTAAATACGATTAGTGATAGCATTTACGCTGCAGTGCATTTGATAAAAATTTCGGATAGAAAACAGAATATAAAGATATGTTTAAAGCTTAGGCGGGTAAACAGGATGCACCTACGTGTCTTTTGTAAATTATCAAAGACAATTGATTACATAAATCATGATAATCTATTAAACAAACTAAGGAATTTATCACCAAAACTTAATTAATTTTATAAAATCATACCTTCTTGACGGGAAGAGAAGTAGGTAGTTATTAATAGAACGAAGTATTGGAGCACCCTAAATTAAGGGCGTATCTTAAGGATTAATATTCAGGTTAATGCTTTTTTCAATATACCAATTAATTTTTCAAACCGGGCAAGAGCGTATCGTACCATGTACAATATAGGGTTTCGTAGTTGCCTGTCACAATACGTGATTAATTAGAAAAAAAGTTGATAAAAATGCAAGTGGTTTTTAATGAATAATCTTTCGATTCGATGAAAATTTCAGTATTTAGTTTTTATAAATTTTTAGGTTAATTATTGTCGCAAATAGTTTTTTTTTAGGATATAATCTTAATGTTGCTTATTACCAAGGTGAGATGTTAAATGTACACATCATATGCGACTACTATAAGGCTCGCCAGTTTTTTGTTACAAATATCAGTAAACAACCTTTTTTAATAATATTTCTTAGACATAGTATATATAATACATACATAATCAAACTGATCAATAAAGATGATAGCGCTGTAGAAAAACAGTGTGTCAAAGCCGTGAAAGGAAAATTTGAAATTCTAATTCTTAATTAAGTTGGGTGAACAAGTCAATGAAAACAAATAAAGAGAAGATTACCATGAAATTAAGGTAGTTTTATTGAATAAAGTTGTAAATTTTTGAGCCTTTTTAGAACCCCTTTGAGGTTTTGAATGTCAGAAGAACTGAAATACTTTTAGTGGAATAGTTAACTAAATATTTGGTTTTTTATTTAAACATTTTGAGAGTTAGTAATTAAATCAGGGATTTGTTATTTCAATATTGTTTATAAGTATTATAGAAGCTAAATTATATAAAAGAAGACACCCTGAATGACGCACATCGCCTACCGCCAAACTTATAAATTTGGATAGTAGATGCGTAAATGGGGTTAAATAAGGTATATGGTAATAAGGTTACACTTTGTATGAAACTTTTTATGTTACGTGACGATTAATTTGAAATTTACTGAACGTAAGTATAAAAAGTAAGTCAAAACTGTGTTCGAATTTGCATGGACAAATTTTTTTAAAGTGAAGTACACTTAAATATTTTAATGGTCTAACTTTAATTTAATATAAATAAAACATAATGTCGAATACCGATAGAAATACACTACATTTACACGTTACGATAGAACGAATTTAAAAACGCTATAAATGATGGAATATCTAATTTAATTCTATCAAACATAGCTGGGGAACAATATATTTCAATAATTGTGTAGCGTACGGTTCAACCATATTTCAGGCGCGTAAAAACGAGAAGACACGGTGCGATGTGGGCGGCGCGTCGCCTCATCCATGTCGTGTTGGTGTTCTCTACATATAAAAAGGTGTGGGATAACACACGACGTGCCACCGCATGTAGACGCGAATGCAATTTAGCAGTTATTTTGAAATAACTAGAACCTTTATCACCAAAGTTATGTACAAGCGATAAGGCAGTGGCTAGAAGATAACGTTCTATGTGGTTCCAACCTAACATTGGATACAGCTCAACAGAATGAATTCCAGCAAAGCCAAGCGTAATTATATTCTAAAACTCGATCGTATTCGATTTTATATCGCGCGATGCACAGTATATAAGAGAACTTCGGTTCGGTAGTGCTCTAAAATACTCATTGACTGCGACACTGCTGTTGCTATTGCTGCTATTACAGTGGCCTAAAATAATAGTGCCGAGTGTGAGTATTTGTTGATGGGTGAGTACATATCGATATAAAATACCTCTATGATATAGAAGAAATTATCAGGAAGAAGCTTTTTCATAAAAATAAAAGCTACAGTAAAGCGCTTCAATGAAGGATTTTTAAATTGTTAGAGCTACATTCATCGTTGTGAATGAAATAAGTATATAAACGCGGTGTAAGTAATAAATATGGTGAAACGCAACTAACGATGGACCTTTAAAATAAATGAAATAAGAAATATTTCAATTTTACAAGAATGTCTCGTCGTAATTTTTATGGTTAATAAATGAACTTGAGTCAATGCTAAGAAGAATACAAATTGCCAAAAAGTTATAAAATCACGAGAGATTTGCATTACTAAAATCAATTTTCATTGAAAATACATATTTTTAAAAGCTTTTAATTTACTTGCTTGTATGTTTGTTGGGGTCAAATCTTGCAACTGAATTTTAAAGCAGCTATCTTCAACCGATTGAGCTGAAATTTTGCATACATGTTTAGTTTTAATAATAATGCATGGTTAGCTAAGTGACGTCACTCGAAATCCAATATGGCGGAGCGCCTAAAATGTCGGACTAGTTATTTTATGCAAGCCCATGAGATGGATATCATATGAAAGGGTTCGTTGAGAAGAATACAAGTAAAATGACTTCCGCGTTCAGCTCTTCGAGGAGATGGTGTACTACTGCCCGACTAAACAGTAAGACTTAGCGGGGTCTTGTCTTAACTAAAATCGACCTACACTCTGGCCAAATATTGGGGGTGGTGAAAAAAAATCAAAATAGCCGAAAACAAGCTAGCCGTCATACCAAATTTAAAGAGTTATAGCTCAGCAAAGGTAAGATATATTTTTGCGGTGCACGAACAATGTTGTAGGGGCCGACAAAGGTCAACTGCTGACGATAAATAAAAATTCAAGACTCGTATCTAAGATGGCGATCAAAGAAACAACAATGATGCATTAAATGAAATGAACAGACTAAGCGATAACTAAAAAATAAAAATTAGATGAATAGTAAAAAGATTTTTAAAAACAAACTTTTATTTAAATGCTCTAAACAGAAGAAAATAAACTTTAAATCGATTTTAATTAATTTATTACATTAAACAATTTATATGATATAAAAGCTTGTCGCGAGATTGACCTGTGTGAATAAACAAGATTACAATATCTAACTTGATATTGACATAAGTAGTACGAGTTTCGTGATCCTAAAAAAATATGTATATTATAAAATAGGTAACTCTCGCGACAAGCTTTTATATCATACTAGCTGGTAGGTCCCCAGCACGTTGCTGCCGCAGAGGAAATAATTGCGAAAATATTGTTTTAGATTTGGAAGAGTTATATTGTTTAATTAGGAATGATAATACATTCACTGAAATGAAATGATATAATATAACGTTTGTCGTCGATTGTAAGTTAATTGTACTAAGCCTATAACCGCAAGTGCAAGCAGTAAGTCGACAAAGTTTTACTGTAATCTGATAAACGTTACGGCATAAAATACGAACAAACATTGTCAACGAAAAATTGTGTAATGTGATAAATTGATGGGTTTGATTTAATTTAGAGTTTATTTTCTTCTTTTTAGACCATTTAAATAAAAGCATGTTTTTAAATATGTTTTTTTTTATTATTAAATTTTATATTGTATTAATAGCGTTTGGGGTCCACAAATGAGATTTGTATATATGTAGATTGATAAATAATAGCAATTTTCCGTGTGACGATGACTGTGTTGCATGTCCATTTCTAGTATCGCCGCCGCTAAATGAGCACTCGCTTGGGCGTCCAAACGCTTGTGCCCTTCGCTCAGTTTTCTTTTGATGAACCGATTTGATTTCTTACCGATACGTGGAAGGCAAAATCGACAGACGAAAGCGAGCAACTGCGAACACATTCGATCGCTTTCGATGAATTGCGTACATCAACTTGTTTGTATTCATTTATTAGCCTTCGCTTGCTCCCGTTCGGTGGGGATAATAAAATGACCGGCACAATAGGTTCGTAACTGCCAATTAGTCATTCATAAATCATTCAGCTAACAACCCTTCAGATACATTTTAAATACACCAGTAATTCAATTTTTGTAGTTTGTATTATTAGACTATATTATTTTTGTGTACTTATAATGCTATAAGGTTAAATGATCATGCTTACCTTTTGGTATTCTTGATGAACATCTCCCAAGTCTGGCGGTTGTTGGCGTATAGGTACTGGTGCTGATAACGTTGATGAAGACGAACTTGACGATGCACTTCCGAAAGCCTTCTCACAATTTTTGTCCATGATGTTGAATGACTTGTCGCTCGACTTATCGCTGCTACTGGAGAATTTGTCGACGCTGATGCTAGCGGGCGAGGCGCGGTCTTCAGGCTCATCTACATCGCATGTGAGGAGCCGGATACGTTCAGCCAGTGACGTTGTTTCTTGCTGCAAATAATTATTATATAAGTTTTGTTTTAGGGATACACAATATTTTGTATAAAATGATTGAACAGTCAGCTCATCTACTTGAAATCAATATTCTTAAATCATTTGAATTAGTTTAAATTTTTAGCTCTCTTCTTATAACTCTTTTTTTAAAAGTAAGAGTGACAAATGAGCACACATTACACAATTGTTGCTTACAGATTCTCTGTCCTCGATAATATTACGTAAGCGTCTACGGTTCTCACAACTCACCACGCGAAACAGCAGTATTATGCTGCTATTTTACGCTAGTATTAATTCCGAGTTTTATTCGTGTTATCTTGTGTGTTTCGTATTCGTGTGTTTGTAACTTTGTATTGTTAATATGCGTGCAAAGGTACAAAGATGCAAAGTACAAAAGTAAAAAGATCACACAGAGCTTAGATAAATATGTGTGACAACAAATAGTTTCTATTTACGCAGTAAAGTAAGGGTTACAATCAGTGTGCAGTAATAAAATTTTTATCACTTTTAACCGAATTCATAAAGGAGGTATGTATTTTTTGTAGGTACGAGTATGTTATGTTACGCGATATCTTCGCAGATTGAGAACCAATTTTGATGATTAATTTTTTATTAAATAGGTTGTACTTCAAGGGTGGTTCCGTATAAATTTGCAGAAAAATTTAACTCCTAAGGGTAGCAAATAAATAAATTATTTTTTAACAATTTGAAGTCGGTCTTCACATTTTGTTAAAAGTTATAATTATTGTTAGTTTTTTTTTCTCGAATCGAGTGTAAATATATATAATTACTATTAGACATATTGAAATGTTTTGAGAACGTTGGTATAAATAAAAATGTAAATAAAAGAAGCATTATGATATAATCAGTAAAAAGTAATGTTAAATCATAACATGCGTTAGTGTATTGTTTTAAGATGCTCAAGATGGTTTTTGGTAATCACCATCATTTCATTCCTTTCTAAGTCCATTGCTGAACATAGGTGCCCCTAAGAAATGCCACAAAGCATTTTCCTTGTATCATTTGCATCCGTCGACTTCCAGCACATCTAACTGGTTACCTACTAGGCGACCGTCGTACATTCCCCAGGCGACTGCCACTCTAGAAAAAAATTCCCTACCGTTACAGATTCTATAACGCAGAGAACAATTTAATTGATAATTTAAGCTTATACTTACATTTTTATATTTTTTAAATAATTAATTGATCTCTACCGCTAAGAATATAAAAGCAAACAAACGCTAGTAGATAAGTAACTGTGTGTCTCTTACAAGCTTATGTACCAACGTACATAAAACATTTGGTAGAATTACCCATCAAGCGTGTTAAGCTGGCAGCAAAAATGGGCCGGTTTGTTGGGGAAGGATTACTCTATCATGAAATACCGGTATCAAATAACAGCAATATTTTGTTGTTGGTGGGTGTAGAGAAGATCCTTTATTGTTAATGAGGGTTTCATCAGGGATGACAACGAGTCTGCGTTTTCATACTTAATCAATAATAGATAATAGTGTCTGTGGACCATAGAATTCACTTAACATCACGCAGATTGTGTTCAATTGTTACCCTTCCTTCTGTAAAAATGAAATAAAATAGCATTATCTATGGTAAAGTGATAGATATTTACAAAACTTATAATTGTGTTTTACACAACTACTCTTGCTGACTACATTTCAAACTCAGGTTTTGATACTCAGTGTTTCGCAATTTCTCTAATGGATTTCATCGGCCATTGTAGGAATTTCTCTTGATTCATATTTCAGACATAATAAACCCCATAACCAAAACTATCACTAGTACGGCGTACAATATTTGCCCTGTATTGAATTGCGCTGCAGCCCTTTCGAGTTACCAAAGTATGTGAGAATAAACTCTCATATAAAATAATAAATTAATTGAAGTTTACTTTGTAACAGACAAAGTAAACTTCAATGAGTTTATAGTCAAACTAAAGATAAAGTTTAAACATGAGAGTAATTATATACATATTAATCTGAGGTTTAAACATAGAAAAGTGAAAAAACTTTGAAGCAGTAATTCATAGACCAACACGGCCCGCTGCCGCCGGTGGCTCGTGTTGCTCTATGGAAGTAATTACATTTGCTGATTCGGCATTGTGTACGTCACCCTAAATTCAATAACGAATTTCTAAGAGAATATTTTTTATGTAGACACAATGTTCAGTTCATGAAATTCTTTGCTTATTGTTAGACACGATTTTATTTGACAATAGTTGAAGCTATATTAAACGAGAATCTGTTGACCTAGATTTTTTATCGTTATGCAATGTTAAAATAATCTCGGTAGATTCAGTGTATATTTTATGTGATAAAATTTAAAAGTGTATGCTTAGACAATTTTAATGTTTTCTTACCTTTTCTCTATTAATATAACATTTTCGTTTTACATTTATATACATATGTGTAAAACTCATATTAAAATGCATTTTAATGGCGGGTTATCCCAATATTGGCTCTAGGAAAATTTAATTTAAATATGTAGTCAAATTACTATATTTAAGTCCAGAAAAAAAAATATGTCATAGATACATAATTTATTGAATGATATTAAAGGTTCAAAGTTTAAACCACGATACATTGTATATTACTCGATTGAAAATAATCCAACACAGTGTCGTTTTTAAAACCTTTTTTCATTTTGTACCGTAATTGCAGCACGAAATTATATTAAAATTGCATATACTTAGAGGTAATCGTTTATAAAGTGATTTTAATGGATAATTTTTGGAAATCAATAGTTTTGTTAACATCTAAAGATACTCAAACGGTTCACGCGGAGACGCGCGCCTCGCGCTTAGTGTCCAGCCAGACGTCGTTACGGTTGGATCTGTTGGACCTGTGCCAAGTTATTTAGATACGCTCCCCGCGCTTTTGAAAAATGGTATATTATATAAAAAAACAAAAAAGAAAACGATATCATATTTGAAAAACATCTGGTGACCACAGTAACATATTTATAGTAAATCACAGTACAATCATTATTGTTTCCGAAAATGTATTTCCATAAAGATTTTGTAAATGTATAAGCCTACAGTACGACCATTATTGTAGCCGAAAATGTATTTCTATGAAGACTTTGTAACTGTATAAGCGTACAGTACGACCATTATTGTAGCCGAAAATGTATTATATAATATATATATATATATATATATATATATATATATATATATATATACACACATACACATATATATATAAAATATATTACGGCTAACAGCTGCCCCTGCAAAGGTCAAATATCCCGGGGCCCATGAGCAGCAGCATGAGGCAGCCGCTTGTTCGAGCCCGAACGGCCATATGGAGAAATGTCCTATCATACTAAACTATAAGGAGAAGGCTAGAAAAATATAGTACGTACCTGTATGCGAATCTAAGACCGCCCCAAGGCTCGGGCAGGCCGTAGGTGGGTGTAAGGTGCATGGAAAGTAGTGTTTAGTGATGTGTATATGTCTGAGGCCTGGCCCAGCTGAGGAGACCGACAGCGGCCGATTTCCATGCTGCCCCACAATGCTGCATCACTCCAGCAGGCTTCCCCGCCTCACCATTTCTTTCTTCATGTCACTATTTCAGTCTACTAACTTCATTGTACATTTAACTAACTTAAACTCGCCTAATTCCTCATTCATCGTAGAATCGAACACGTGATACCCGACACAGTAATGGACAGTAGTTCAAAGTTCAACATTCAATGTCCCGGATTCATTTATCACCAAATTACGAATAGTGAACTAACGCGATCTCTTCATGAGTCACACGGTTCAGCGTTCCAAACACAACTAAATTCCTTCGTTCGATATCAAATACTACGCCGCGATAAGAATTCAAAATCCGCATCGCTGACACGCTGACACTAACAAAACAGTCTACACACAAAAAAAGGGCACTTAACGCGACGGCACAATTACAATGATCTCCAAAACAGTCAACCGGCGACGCCCTCGAAAAGGGAATGCGCTGTCCAAATTATAAACAGTATCTCCAATCAGCGCGCGCACAATTCCACGTCACACGAGCTAGTTAAATATTACAAAATGCACTTCAACACGCATTCACAATCTGATTTTCACAATTACTTTCAAAGAAGTTACTTTAATCAGTCAAACACAATACAATCCTCTTGTCAAGAACTTAGACCCTAGACAACCAAAAAGGAGGCGGTTTTCACGAAACACAATTACGTAGTGAAGTCACGCGCACAATTTCCAAAATTCTAGACCCTAATCCAAAAAAAAAAACCGGTTTCGCGATACCTCAGCGGCGGGCATCGAAAGATATCAATTAACTGCCCAGCCGCCGTCGAGCTACTATCTCTTAGCCCAGCGCCGGAATCACCGGAGCCGCTACACCACCGCCCCCACACTGCGACCCGCGCGACACCTGGCACCATCGGGCGATTCATGAAGTCTAACGTGATTAGATGTCGTACAAATTACCTTTTTTGGGCCTAAACAGTGCCCTTTGTCATCAAGAGCCGAACAGGTCGCAAAAAGAGAACCTAACAGATAGGCTTTCTCCTTTGTGGCATGGACCAGTGAGTCATTTACAGAAGTTTCATTAGATAGCCTTGGCGAGGGAACAGAATGCACGGGTTCTCGAAGAAAGATGAATTACTTACTCGCCAATTCTGTCGATGTGCTCCAACTTTGCCTTGTTGACGACTCTTTTGTTCAAAACAGGGTATATAGGCGGAATTATACTTATTTTTAAGAGCGCTGCTGTTACATCTCGGGACATCGAAGCGTCAGCCCAGGCCCGGTAGCACTCCTGCATGTAGTGCGATGCAATTTCGCAGGAGCGACCAAACCATGGTTCTGACTTGCATCCAATAAGCACCACAAATGATGAAATAAAAAGTTTTATTTTCTGTTGTACCACATCAGCAATATAATTAGAAACAACGTTGGTATTATCCAATGAGAAGCTAACGAACCTCCAAGGGCAAAGGATGCAAAAAAGACCGCATCCTGCTCCAATCTGTCCGGCAGCCTGCAGCACGCAACCGCAATAGTGAGTGAGTGGCACCACAATGTGGATCAGACAATAGTCCAAAGAACCAAGAGGGACGGAGAACCTGATATCCCTCCGGATTAGTCGTCAGCAGAAGGTCCAATAAGGTAGTGCAATAGTGCAAGGAGCATGATCCGCCACATCTGGAATTCTTGTAGGCGAAGTAACCAGTTTTGTCAAAAAAAGGCAAAATCATAAATAGATCTCCCCACGTGGTCGGTTAAACATGAACAAGCTATTCAGCGTGGTGGGTGTTAAAACATCAAGAGTCACGATCGCTGGAGATGGGATTTGTTTTCACATGGAGTCTGTAGCCATTTGGACGTGGTCGATGCGTCGGTCCGTGCTGGCATTACCGCCTTGGGACCCATAAAGGCATCCCTGGAGGCGGGTATGATCACAGCTGTCTACGCGCAGACAAAGAATGTAGAGGTCCGCATCTTTAAGACTGCCAAGGCGTCGTGACGTATACGCAAACTCCAGCCCAAGGCACAAGGGAGTATTCCAATTTAGAAAGAGTAGGGCGAGAATGCTTAGCGAACGATTCTCTATTAACAAGAGTGCTAGTACATTCCTGAGGTACACCTTGATTTAATAAACCACTACCATGGTATGTATATAATATATAATGAAAGAAAATAATGGTATTAAGTATATCCTACAAGAAAACGGCAAAGCAAAAATGAAAACGACTCTTATGATTCGTGCAAACTGCGTGTATAAGCAACAAATTATCATGACGTCAGTTTGCGTCACCGGTTATAATTTATGAAAATTAATTACAACTGGTGACGCAAACTGACGTCTTTTATTAAAATGTTAAGATCTCTAAGTAAATACTTCAATTATGTGATATTACGCAGTGTATCAAAGAGTTAAAGTCCTTACTTCAGAAGCTATTGTATGCAAATTATTTTATTCATTTTATTTTAGAAGTTATTTTTTAGTTTATATTCAATGTTTTTAATTTTTTACACTTTTGAGTGAACTAAGGAATATTAAAAGATTAAGGTAACAACTAGAATGTCGTCTAAATAGTTACATTATAAACGTTATTCCTAATTTTTCCACCCTTATAATTCCGTGATCAGACGCAGTGTACTATGGTGGAATTTAGCAGTTGGATTTAACGCGAGACAAGCTTCTGGGCAGTTCTTGTGGTATATGCGATAGAATAGGTACACAGATACGTATCTTCGCACGGAAAATAGATCAATCCAGTCAAAAATACCTTCTTAGTCAACGATTCGAGCCGCTCTCCGTTAAATGCGATTAAGTGGAAGGGATGGTACTGGAGTGAACTAGTAAGGGGTTGAGATGAGAATTCCATATCAATCGTATTGATAAATTGTGTTTGTAAATGTAAACATTAATACATTTACGGTTTCCTGAGTATTATTTCTTCAGCGTCTATTTAACAAGGAGTAGCGCTGCTCTAAAACATATATAATTAGACTGTTTTATTGAATTAGTAGGGTTCATTCATTCATCATTTATTACACTATAAAGCTCACTGCTTAACATACGCGTCCCCATAAATTGCCTCATAAAGAGGATATTTGATATAGTTGCTACGATTTGCAGGTTTTTAATTTATAGTAAACTGCTGCCTATCTTTTGGTTTGTTTCCCTCTGTCGCATCTTACAATATCCACGAGACGATAATATGAAGTAGTGCATCACTAACAGGTTAAAATTATTAGGATTATTTCTTGTCATTAAAAGTGGCAAACGAGATTACAGCTCATCTATGGTTAGTGGCGACTGCACCACACTGACCTGCATATAATTTCAAACAAAAACATCCAGAGGTGCGTTGTAGCTCCTGAGTATTGAGGTGAAAAGTCTCACAGCCTGTTATTACTGGCTTTATTACACTTTGCACAAGTACACTAGCTGTGTTTACCAACTTTTCTCAATAAAAATAGTTTTCTAGACTTTTATTTGTAAAAATATAATAAATAGCATTAATATAATTAATAGCATAGGCTAAAAAATAGCATATTATTAGATGATTTGACGACCTGGTAATGGTCAGGCAAGAAGGCAATGACTGCAGGTAACATAGGACCGATTTTTGTACCTTTCCTTGGGGGAGGCCAATGTTTAGCAGTTGAATTGTGAAGGGGTGTAATGGTGATGATGTTAGTGATGTTTTAAATTAATTATTTATACATTATAGGAATATTTTTGCTGCTTTCAGTTTTTACCAAAATCGTCGCAACATATTAAAATATTATAGTACCTAGTTGTGCCTATTGCACTTCGTTCTAGAAATGAGGTATTTGAACCCCTTACATTAATAGGAAGAGTTGGCAATCAAAAAATCAAGTCGCAATATTTTATGTTCAGCTGTGTCTTACATGAAAAAAAATGTTTATATCGTTTTATTGCGCCTGAATCTTATTCCGTAATTTCATAAGCTGTTCGCGAGATAAGATTGTGTTGCTATATGTATCGTATGAATACAATGAAATAAATTTATAAATAAAGTATATACCTTCGCTTGTTGCTTTTTCCTTGCTTCGCTGCGAAGAAGTGAACATCTGAGAGCATTTCTCTCTGCTACCCGGCGAACGGCGGCGTCTTCAGCTTTAGGCCTTACACCAGCGTCCCAAGCTCTATCATGAAAGAAATTTACAATTCAAGAAATTGACATTGGACAAGAGTTATGAGGAAGTTATATATATATCGTCAAAGTTACTTAGCGTATAAGGACTGACCTATAAATTATAATCACCATTTAGTTTAACACTCTTATAAGTAAAAAGTACGGTGCTGAGCCAGTTGCATATATCAATTTTCTTTAAACAGCTACCTAGCTTTGGAAATTAGTTTTATTTCGGTTATTTTATTAGAGTCATTTTACACAATACAGTTTGACTGTCTCATTGTTCTAGTGTTCGTAAGAGTGACTGCTTTTCAAATGGTTCCAGTTTTCGAACCTGGAACCTTATGACGGCTCAACCCAAAAACTGGTTATTAAGATTTTTCTGTCAATAAAATCTCAACAGCAGCCTAACTACATCAACAAGTTAGCGGTATTTCACCCCGTGCCTCGGAAAGCATGTAAATCTGTTGGTCCTGCGCCAGATCTTTCTCGGCTGTCGGATTATCATCCCAGAGAGTGCATCAGTGCTGCCACCGTGATCGAAATTCGGTCTCGATTATTAATTTTACAACTCCAGGTCTTTGTGCACGAGTGATATGGGAAGATTTGCCACCACCCCCTATATCCCTCCTGAGCAGATGAGACCCATCGTGTTAGTTAATTATTCAAACACTGTCTATTTAGTAGTAGTTGTTGTTTTCTACGGTTTTTTGGTCTATAGTCTCATATTCGCCAATAACTTTTGCAAATCGCGTGAGTAAAACTAGTATATACAGACTTCTTCTTACTCTTCTTGGTCGTGTTCTTCAAAACTGAAGGTCGTGTCCGTAGTTTAGTGCCTTCGCTGTTCACTATAGCCCTCCATTATGTCCGGTCCTCGGCTTTTCGCATTGCAGTCGTGAGTGAAAGGCCAGTGAGTGATTTGACCTGGTCCAACCAGCGGCTAGATGATCGGCCGCGTGGTCTTTTGCCCCCCATCTTACCTATGACTATAAGTCTATCCAAGTTATTAGGCGAGCGTCGGGCAATGTGACCAAAGTAACTTAGAATACTCTGGTAACACTTGGTAGAGAGTCTGGTGTCAACACGAAGCTGCCCCAGGATCGACTCGTTGGTGCACTTAGCAGTCCATGGTATCCGAAGCATCCTTCTCCAACACCATATTTCGAACGCATCAATCCTTTTCTTGTATATACAGACATGGAACAGTCAAGATCCCGTCTTTTGAAATGTTCGCGACATGATTCTTGTTGTATTATCCGGACTATGGTTCTGATTACTCTCTTTTGCAGAACAAAGTCCTTGTGTAAGTACATTATATTTAAAGCTCCCTCCCCAGAATAAAATATTACGTAACATAATCTTGATATTTTTTTACACTTTCATTAAAAATAAGCCAAATAATACATGCTTTAAACTACCTTCTTATCAAAAGAAAGATAATTATTCCGGTGTTAATAGGGGTTCGAGGACATGGTTTTTATATAACATTTAACATTTATATAACATTTAAACTACATTAAATATTTTGGCCTTGACTTTGACTTATTATTTTTGTTAAAATTAAATTGAAGCAAGTTTTTTATTATCGTTTAAACATCGATAATTATGCATATATGTACTACGCACTAGATTACGCATTCCGAACATTGCTAAGTTCAACTGAACTGTACTGCAATCCGTAAACTAACCTAAATATTGATTAAATTGAAGATTTGTGAATTCCATAAGTAATTATAATTACATTTTATTTAGAAATATGTTTGTTTAGATTAAAATAAAAGTATTTTATATTAAATTCTTATATTTATTTTATTTATTTATTTATTTATTTATTTAGAAAACCAACAGCGTATATAGAAAATATTAACATTAATGTAACAAACTTAAAGTATGGCCAATAACAGGTTTCCCTTATATTGTTTGATGGTAGGTGTATTGTTGTTAGAAGAAAAGAAAAAAGAACAATCTAATAGATAAATTATAAGCAATTCAATGTAATGAAGGTGGTCATAAATTTACATATCAGGAGAGATAGTCAGGTAGAATGATATATTACGTTACCTTTATATATATATATAAATATATATATATATATATATATATATATATATGTATATATATATATATATATATATATAAACATATAAGATATATATATACATACATATATATTATTTACTTATGTATATATACATATTAAATGTTTAAATATATAAACATAATACAAATAATTAATTATAATATATATTAAATAAAATAACTTAAGTACTTATATTTATATTAGTAGCCTCAAAAATACATATAGAAGAAATAGATGAGAGAATATATGATTGTATGTGATTTTAACTTCAACTGCTCTATTTCGTAATAGTTTTCTTGATGTAATCTTTAAACGTAAGTTAACGTCTTTAAACGTATATTATTAATTTATATTAATAACTTATTATATTAAATTACAGTCTTAATATAATAGAATAGTTTCTCTAGTAAGTAGTACATATAACTCAATGCGCTAAAAAGTTTATTTATATACCTTAAGGTTTCAGACGTGATCAGCTGTGGTTCGATGGCAGGTGGTGGAGGCCTATTACTATTGAATAGTTGCTGGACAGCCGAGTTGGTTTTTGGTGTTTGTATAGTCAGGATCAATGGTGTTTCCAACCTAAAATAAAATGCGCCAGTAAATATAAATTTTAATAAATTTTAATACTTCTTTACTCAATATATATAATGGAACGTCACAATTCGGTATGTAAACAAGAGCTTGTTCCTTTATAAACCATATTTTGCTAGTTAGAGGTCTTTATAATAAAGAATGGTATTTATTTTATCAAAATTTTACTAAATTAATTGACCCTTATTTCATACCCAAATGATGTCATAAAGGAGACTCAATGAACTCAATAAATAATTAGACCGACCAACCGATCTACGATTATATCTTCGCTCGATTTACAATTTAATTAATTCTCTATAATCCTTGCGTTGACCATTGCTTTATTTTTTTTACTGACTTCAAAAAGAAGACGGTACTCAATCCGACTGAATGTTTTTTAAAGTGTGTTACCTCATAACTTTTTACTAGGTGAACCGATTTCGATGATTCTTTTTTATTTGAAATTTGTCTAATTAATAGTTTTTGTGTTATTCTCAATAATTTATATTGAAGTCGGTTGCACAAAATTTTTAATTTTTAATTATTTATAATAGTGAAGTTACAAACGAATTTACAGCCCACCTGATGGTAAGCGGTTACTTCAGCCAATTATGTGGGCTCCAGCCAGAGGTTGCAAAAAAAAGCAATCTTTATTTAATATATATTTAATTTAAAGTAATTATTACAATTAATTCTTATAACTAAGTGAGGTGACTCTAATTCGATGTTTGAATGTAGAATGGATTCACACGGTAAAATATTAGATCCAGGTAATATAAGACAGTAGACACGTTATGCTGACACGGCGCCTCGTGATCGTCGTAAGCCGATGCAACGCAGCAGATTGCCTGGATTAGGGCTGCGTAACACCTCCCCCCGAAGAACAGCGACTATGGAAGACCTTGGTCGTGAATTGAGCTGGGAGTTGATCGGGATCAATCTTCTCAGTGTCTGGAACAGCGTATACCCTTAATGATTTAGGATGGTCCTCTTCTGAGTTCCTTTGCGTACCTCCAGTTAGCTTCGGCTTGTATCTTCTATAGAGTATGCATAGAATCAGTGCACCTGCACTTATTATTAATGCGTAAAATGGTATTGTAGTATGATATAGACTGTAGTCATCGTTTCTTCTTAAATTCAATGGCGATTGCTGGGATATTTTAGTGTTCGTTGCATGAAGATGTTGGAGGTTTATTGAATTTAGTTTATATGCCGATGCAGAAGATGGGATGCTGGTGTGTTCCTCAGGTATGTCCATTATCTTTAAGGCTTGTCCCTTCAATCGATCTTTAGTATTTGAGATCGAGAATAGTGGCGTTTCTATGTAGCATTTCAGAGGGACAATAACGAGATAACTACCTTGAAGTATTTTGTAGAGATCTTGTCCACAGGATAGATGTACTTTCGTTGGTGTGGGGAAAGTGATGGTGTAATGCTTGTCGTCCAGTTCTTCGTAAGCTGGTTTATCTAGGGTGACTGTATACGGGTTACATACTGCATTCGTCTGTTGTTTAGTGATGAGGTGATGGATGCAATCAGGGGATGTTTGACCTCTCAGGCTCCGCTTTTCTTTACAGATGTACCATTTACTGGTCTTCGGGCATTCTGCCTCTATGTACTGAAAATCTTTCTGATAAATGGCTAGGAATGGAAAGGGTGGTGTGAGGATTTCGTGTCTCTTGTTAGGAACAATAGATAACTTATACATATCATATATATGGGGTAATAGAATTGGGAACTTAAATACTATTACTATTTCATTTCCTACATAATATGAACCTAATCTAATAATATCATAATATTCCCTAATATCTAAATCTCCTACCTTTTTATTTCCATAAAGTTCGGTTGCTCTGTTAATCATTATTCGGATAGATTTTAAATTAACTATAGAGTGGTGCATAGTGTTAGCTCTTATAAATGCTAAGTTGTTCTGTAACTTAATTAATTTCTGTGAAATGGAATCAACGTTATCACTAAGGATCATTAGTACTTGTCCAAAATGGGCATATTTAATTAGGTCATAGTCTCTGGTAGCCTCGGATTGATTTATTTTACCTATTAGTATTTCTAATTTATTTTGATTATCTACAATGCTATCTATTATTCTGGAGTATTGATTTGATAAATCTTTAGTTAGGCTTACATGATTATTAAATTCCGTAACGATTTTATTTTCGTCTTCGTGGATGGATTTTATAGCACGATTAAAATGATCTGCATCTGTATAATCAAGGTTACCAGTTATACTTTTTATGATGGAACCGAGACCATCTACAAGTCCTCTTTTCTCACGGTTCGTTTTAAAGCTACTCAACTGTATGGTGACACTTTCAAGCTTATTTTTAAGATAATCAATATGAGGCTGAAATAACGAATTGGTTATGTTGTTAAGGTTAGGGCTAATACTGATTAACTGTGTTTTAACTGAATTTACTTTATCTCCTAATTCCTGGAGATTTACATATTGCAGAAATGCATGGTAGTGGGATAGGATTCGAGCGGGGCCTAATTTGAAGGGTAATATACCAGGTCCATCGCTAAGACTTTCAAGTCTTATCTCCTGCATTAGAGCTGGTCCCAGAAGGAGATGAAGTACCAGGAGAGTCCTGTAACAATTGGTTCGTTTTAGGTATTCTCTTCAATCGAGTTTTTGCTACGGGGCCTCGTTTTTTCTTTGTATAAATGTGAATTGGGAGGTTTGCCATAACTGTGTCGTGTGTGTATCGAGGAGCTAATTTCTGACGGGATGCGAATGGATTTTTTATAAAGATTTGTTGTTCCGGGGAATATTCAGCTTCCTGTTCTCGGTTTTTATTGCGAGTATTAGTCAAGTCTTTACGCATGTCGTTACATAGATCGTGAATAGTTTTATAGGTCTCAGTCATTCTGTCTTTGTGGTTTACGACGTACTGTTGAAGTAAGTGGGCGGACAGATCTATGTCAAAAGGATCGCGAGGGTCAAAATGTCCTGTAATTACTTCTATTGGTTTGCATTTTGTGAAGCTATGTATACTATGATTGTAAGCTAATAGGGCATAGGGCATAAGGTTAATAGCGGATTCATTCTTTTGATTTATCTTTAAAATACGGAGATGTTCTAATATGGTGGCGTGAAATCGTTCAACGATACCATTTTCGTTGGGTGCATGTGGGGCTACTCTATGGTGCTGAATTTTATGAAGTCTAACGAATTCTGCAATAAGTTGGTTGGTAAACTCAGGGCCGTTATCGGAAACTATGGTAATTGGAATTCCATGATGTGTGCAGAAAATTAGTAAAGCTTGTACTACACTGACAGCAGTGCCGTCTCGCAAATAATACGCCTGAGCATATTTAGAAAAACTATCTACTATTGTCAAATACTTTTCCCCTTGAATTGTTAATAGATCTACGTGAACTAGTTCAAAAGGCTTAGAAGCTGGTGGTACAATTTTAAATTTCTGTTTAACTGGATTGCGGTCGTATTTAGCTTGTCCGCATACTGTACAGTCATTAATAAATTTAGTGATATGCTCTCTCATTTTCGGCCAGTAATATTTGCGGGACAAAGCCGAGAAACACTCGTTAATGCCTCGATGGTTCGTCTTTCCATCGTGATATTTATGAATGATTTCTTGCTGTCTTAAATACTCCCTAACATTTTCCAATTCAGTTTTTGTTAGAAAAAGGTTAAGAGATGAACTTTTAAAAGACTTTTGTATGATTGGTATGACAGTGTACATTGCAGAGTTTGGATTAATGAGTAATCCTGTCCTAATTTTCGGATGGACGTATTCTTTTATAGCATTAATGACATCCTCTTCTATGTTTGATTGAGCTATTTGTATCGTAATGCGTGTGTGTGTTTCGAATGGTTTAGTGATGACTGGTCTAGCTTTTATGTCGCCTACTATATTTAAGATTATCTGTTTAGTAAACTTATTTAGCGGTTCGTCAGAAATGGGAACTTCCAGGATGGGGTTTTCTTTATCTGTATGAACGGTGATGGTTCTGGAATCGTCTGCGGCTTCGGTAGCCGTTATAGTCCTAGAGTCATCTAAAGTGTGTACCCCTTCGGAAGGGTTAGGTAAAATGGAAAGCAATTCATCTATTATGGGTCTTAGCTCGTCATTGTGAAGTTCGATGCGCGATAGTGCATCGGCATTCGTGTTGCACTTGCCTTGCTTATATACGACACTAAAGTCATATTCACTTAACTTAAGGCGCCATCTGGTTAGACGCGAATTGGGTTCTTTTAAGCTCATAATCCATTGTAAGGGTTTATGGTCTGTAATAATTTTGAACTTACGGCCGAATAAATAGGGACGGAAATACTTAGTCGCCCATACGATAGCTAAAAGTTCCTTTTCTATCGTGCTATAGTTACTTTCGCTGGAGTTAAGTGTACGAGAAGCATATGCAATGGGTTTATCTGAACCGACTGTTCCCTGTGATAAAACTGCACCAATCGCCACGTTTGAGGCATCGGTTGTCAAAATAAAATCTCTACTGAAGTCTGGATACTGTAAGATTGGGTCATTTGTTAAGAGAGTTTTACAGTGTTCAAAGCAGTTAATATAATTTTGATCTAATGTTATCTTTGATCCCTTTTTAAGACATTGAGTGAGTGGTTTTGTGAGACGTGCGAAGTCTGGTATAAATTTTCTATAATATCCTAGAAGTCCTAGAAAACGCTTAATTTCGGTTGTAGTTTTTGGCAGTGGGTACTTTTCGATGGCTTTAATTTTGTCTGGGTTGGGTTTAACCCCGTTTTTACAAATAACATGACCTAGAAACTCGGTTTCCAGCTTCAAAAACTCTGATTTATCCATCTGAATTTTGAAGTTGGATTCCCGTAGCCTTTTGAATACTTTTTCCAGATTTGTCATATGTTCTTGTAAGGATGTACTGAAGACAATTATGTCATCTAGATACACTAAGCAAATTTCGTTCTGTAAGTTCTTTAATACGTTGTCCATCACCCTTTGGAAGGTCGATGGACTATTTTTCAGGCCCATTGGCATCCTAAGAAATTCGTAATGCCCATTCTCTACATTAAAAGCAGTTTTGTGAATGTCCGCGGGATCCATTTCTACCTGATAAAATCCACTGGCTAAATCGAGCGTGGTAAAGTACTGACATTTGCCCAGTTTGTCTAGAACATCGGTTATATTAGGAATAGGATATTTGTCATCGACTGTCTTTTCATTCACCTTCCTGAAGTCCACAACTAGACGCCATTTTATTTTGCCGGAAGCGTCCGCCTTTTTGGGTACAATCCAAATAGGAGAGCTCCAAGCAGAGTCCGATGGTCTAATTATATTTTGCTCGAGCATCTTATTGATCTGGTCTCGGACTTCCTGTCGGTGGACATACGGGTATCTGTAGCTCTTAGTATGTACGGGGATTTCATCATGTGTTTTAATTCTATGTTTGATCTTGTTGGTGAATGTTAAAGGTTCACCATCAAGGTAAAACACGTCGGCATACGAGGCACATAACCGTTGTAGGTTTGCTAGCTCTTCAGGATTAAGATGATCGGTGCGAAGACGGGATAGAACATTTTTAGCGCGATCCGATAACGTTTCAGTAAACTGGCACTCGACATTATATATTTCGGCTTCTACCGGACGGTCCATTGAAAAAATTACATCATTTGAGCTATTATTGGTAATTTCGACCCAACCACGATTATTAATTACTTTCGTTATACAATCAGAGATTATGCAGTTGCAAATTATTTGATTTTCAACTACTACGTCACCGTCCTTTGAGTTTATAGGCAACCTAACTAATTTTGATGACTGCGCGGGTATAATTTCTTCATATAAATTTGCGTTACGTGAGTCATACATTTCGATGGGGATTTTTGCGTTACGAGTAATAAGTAATTTATTTCTAAGATCGATATTAGAACCCCATATGTCTAGTAAATCAAACCCTATCAGTCCGTCGAAGTAATTATGAAATCTATAAATGAACAAGGTTATATTATCTCGTTCATTAAATTCTAAAGGGCATGGGAGAGTTATAGAATAATCGTTTTTACTTGTCGCGTGAACATTGGTGACTTCGAATGGGTCATAATTCAGTGGAATATGGCTAAAATATTTTCTTACAGCTTCGGGACTAATAAACGATTGGTTTGCGCCGGTGTCTATTAAGAATTTCAGTGGGGGATTACTTGTCTGAATGTAACCGAGTTGCCTTTGTATGTGGAAATTTATTTCTATTTTTGTTTTTCTGGTTTGGGGCACTTCCGAAAATCCTCATCATTAGTCGGGGTGAAATTAGTCTCTACTTCCTCTACGATAGGAGCTTCCGCGTGGTTATACGGTGGCTCGTATCCATAGTTAGGATATTGTTCGTAAGTACAGTACTCTTGATTATAGTTATAGTCAGGATAGTCGTATTCATAGTACGCGTCGGTGCTATAGTCGTAGTCAAAATCCGTCTCGTTAAAGTTTACCTCCCGTGTTTTAAAGTAATTGCTCGGCGGTGGGTTGCCAAATCGTCTCCAGTCATGTCCAGTCGGTGGTAAGGGTTTCGGAACAAAGGGAGTGACACCGCTCATAGGAGAAGGGCGCGAATTATTATTTAAATTGAAGCCCTGTGGTTGCTGAGGTCTGTTAGGAAGCTTAAACACATTACTCTGGGGGTTATAATTTGGTGGAGGAGCACGCATCATCTGTTGCGTACGAGTGGGTCCGCGTGGTACATGCATCTGGGGTGGTAGATTGGGCCTCCAACCCTGTGCAGCATGCGGTTGCATAGGTGGCTGTCTAAACGAGTTCAGTATATTATTACCCTGTGGTCTAGGTAGTGACGGCATGTTAAATGTGGTAGGTTTTGGAACGAAATGATTTAATGGTAGATTAGAGCTAGGGGTAGATTGAGTCCATTCTTTCCTGTTCTGGCTGCCTTCATTTCGTTGTTGGAGGTAAAGGGTGTTTAATTCCTCCTGTACGAATTCAAGTGCTTTCTCCATACTTTCGGGACGCATACATCTTATTCTAGACCCTAGGGGGTCTTTTAATCCGCGTAAATAAGCTTGCAAGGTCAGTTTTTTATAGAGTGCGCGCTTAGCTTCAATTGTCGTACTAATGGTTTCATGTAAAGTGACATAGGTCATTATTGTACTAAATAAACTTTGGACTCGCTCGTAAAATTCTTGCGGGGTACTAGACCCTTGGGTTTGTAGTGATAAATCACTGTATAATGCGGTTTCGTCGCGATGGTCGGCGAAGTTATTTATAAGAGCGCTTTTGATGCCGGCCCAGGTTTCGGGTATTCCATTCGAATTTATTAGCCTAGCCGCGGATCCCGTTATTTTATTTAAAATCCCGTTAATAAGAGAAAGATTGGCTAGTTCGTATCCGGGCTCATTTCTTACGTGGGCTAACACAAGTTGATCGCACAGGTTAATAAAGCGCGTAAGGATGTACGGGTTACCGTCAAATTCGGGCAAAACTCTAAGTGACTTATAAATTAGGTCTATTTCATTTGATTGGGCCATACTATCGGTCTCTAAACCTCTGTTCTCGTCTATAATACTAAGCTTAGAAATCCTACTACTATCTAACCTAACGTTCCGTGTTCCCCTTGGATGGAAAATTTTGGAAGCTTTATACTAACACAGTTAAAATGCAATAAAATACAATAGAAAAAAAAAGGTGTATATAAAATTAGGATAGAGTAAAAAATTAATTACGGAACTAGGAAGGGTAAGGATTGAAAGATTCAAGCACTTACAGCATTACTTCTTCTTGCGGAATCAATGCCTGGATTCGCCTCTGGACTGGTGCTCCCGTAGGTTCTGTATCTTCTTGGTCACTCTTGATTCACTGACTCTACTTTAGAAGATCCTACCGACTGCGCCAATTATGTGGGCTCCAGCCAGAGGTTGCAAAAAAAAGCAATCTTTATTTAATATATATTTAATTTAAAGTAATTATTACAATTAATTCTTATAACTAAGTGAGGTGACTCTAATTCGATGTTTGAATGTAGAATGGATTCACACGGTAAAATATTAGATCCAGGTAATATAAGACAGTAGACACGTTATGCTGACACGGCGCCTCGTGATCGTCGTAAGCCGATGCAACGCAGCAGATTGCCTGGATTAGGGCTGCGTAACAAGCCCATAAACACCTGCAGTCAACTCACAAACAAACAAGTCATTTGTCACCTATGAAGACTAAGTCGGGTACGACTTTCCATTGACGTGCGTCGAGTTGGAGGTTGATATTTTTTTTTTACAGAAAGGTTACATAATTATAAGCACACACGCAAAGTTTCAACATTCGGAGACACGTACTTTTTGAGAAAAAAAATTGTATTAATAATAAATATTGAAAATCAACTATTTTGCAATATTTATGTCTTCTTCTTCTTTTAAATTATGGCTTCTCTTGATAGAATTCTGCCAGTGAATTGCTACCGTAAAACTGACGCCATTTTTTATTGTCGTTGTCAGTAGGGATGTCGATTCTTTCCCAAAAAGTTCGATTTTTTAAATCGATTCGAATTGTAAGCTGATGTATCGATTCACAAAAAATCGATTTCTAAATATCTATATTGTTTATGTTACAACCACCAACTCGACGGACGTCAATGGGAAGCTAAGCCAGTTGGAATGCTTCACAGCCTCTTATAGTACTAGCTCTCTATATCCTTCAAGTTCAAGCCGGAATACAGCAGTGCTGGCACTGCTATTTGGCGGTGCCTACTCAGACGAAGTTCTAAGTATTAAAGAAGTCCTATTACCTAGAAAAAGCTACAAGCTGTTAAAAGTTTGAATCGATTTTAGTTATCAACCAGTTTACGAAGTAACTCCGTCAATGTATATAAAGTGAACTTATCTATGTTACGGTACAAAGATTTGCTATTCGACCGTATTTTCATAATCAAACAAATCACAATAGAATACGCGTATAAATTTTTTACATTTTGCATAGAGACAAGAAACATGTAATCTATGCAAAATGTCAATTTATGAGGTATTACATATATTACCTAGGAAAAAGTATCGTACGTTTTTCCAAGATTATTACTTTTTGATTTTTGACACAGGTAGTGAATTCTTCAATCTGTTTTATGAAGTCATTGTAAGTAAGAGCTTAGAATTCTATTAAAAATTAATCCCTATATGAAAAGTTAAATTTGTGTATAAATTATATATTATATACTATTATTATAATAATGTTATGAAAGGGTATAAAATCTATTTAAGGTATAAAATCTACTCATTAAAAAGTTTACATACCGAATTTGTATCAGTAGTAAATTAAAAAAAAGAACTGAAAAAATAGTGTTGTATGTATCCTAGATTCAAATATGTATTTATGAATGATGCCACAATAGATTTTTTGAACCTAAAAATTACCTGTGTATAGTACTTGTACCGGTTTCTTTCTGCGTGTTTGTTTCATCGTCTGACGTCTGAGTTGCTTCCGTTTCATTCTTTGGAATTGTTTCTTCATGATTTGATTCCTGTGGTCGCTCGACGAAGTGTACTGTCCTAGTGACAGAACCGTCTTCATCGCTGACAGTCGTCGTTGATCGCTGGTCCTCATTCTATTAAGTTTTTGAATTGATTAAAATGTAAAGTAATACTATAATGTAATAAAATACGAGTATACGTGTAAAAATTTAGTAGATAAAGTAATAATATCATGTATCCTATAACAAACAGTCAATTATAACTTATCATCTTAACTATTATATGTTGGTTTTAAATAATATCGTACTCAAACAGTTTGATAGAAAAACATAGACTTTTATATTAATAAACATTAATAAATTTGTGTGACAAAGTTGCTAATAAAGTTATGCTTTTACGCGACAAATTCATTTGAATTTTATATTTAAATTTTTTCTTGAGCAAAACGCACAGCTAGATATGGACCTCTTTAGGAGTGTGTAAGATTTACCGTTGTCGCTATGCTTGGCACCCTGATGGTGGTATAAGTAGTACCAGAAGTTGCTCTCCGTCGCCAATCTGAGATTTAATAAATCAGAGATACATCTGCTCATCACATTGACTACCTCGTTGGCGTGTTCGTAAGTGCGACTTTATACAAAGGTAGGCACTCTGTGGTGCGACTGCCGAAAACTTTTTAACCCCGTACTTCAGAATATATCGAATTTCTTCGTTAGATTCAATCATCTTGGCGGACAGAAAAACAATTGAAAATGGCGGGAAAGTGTTTTTTACTTTTATTTTTCTTTTTCTTAATGTCCTATACCGTACTCGTATATATTGAGATCAGTGTCCTATACTCGTATGTATTGATATTAAAACCAGTCAGATACAAACAGTACAACCAAAGAGATTTTTATTCAATTTTATACAAACAAAATACGAAGAAACTCTTATTGCAATCGAAAAATTATACAACTAATGTTGTTTAAATGTTCTTGAAAATGGTGCTTACTTCACTTACCAAGTTAATAACATTATAATGTTATTTATTTTAGCGAGGTTATATAATTGAGAGTCAAGAATGAGAAGCATGGATTACGAAATGCCACGATAATATTATCTATGTTAGGAGATAACCACTGCTAAGATTTTATTTAAAATTATTTTTTTTTGTAGAATGATTAAGTTTTGAATTAAAGCTTTCCTATTTTTAATTTATATTATTAAATTAGTATTCTATCCTCCCACCTACAGGATCCACTTCATTTTAAAGAAACAGGTTCAAAATTAAAAAGAAAAATAATAAAGAAAATTCTTATGCGGGAAAATGCAATGCATATGAATGCAGTTTTTTCATTTTGTTTATGTGCTTTGTGTACGAATTTCTTAGGTAAAATATTCTTTTGGTATAAATTTAGATCATTTCTAACGAAATAAAATTTAAAAAGTTTTTGCATAAAACTGCAAAAGTTTACCATTGCCTTAAATGAGTCAACCATAGTTGTAAGTATTATCTTATTATTAACATTAGTTAATTAAAGTGACTTCTTTGACTTTATCACCATCATCAGCTCCAAGATGTTCACTTGTAGAAAGAGCCTTGATCGCCACGCTCATAGTACCAGAAACACCTTGGCGGTTCCGTGGGGCAGTGGCTTAGCAATGAGTTGCAGGCGCTGAGGGTCGCGAGATCGATCCCGCACGGAACGGTTATTTAGATGATATGCAAATATCCAGACCCAGAAGTCTGGATGTTTGTCCTTGTGAAATTTATGTTTGTAAACTGCCTCCACGATACAGGACAACTTTCTATTTTTTCTACACTTTAAAATAAAAATTAAACGTTTGACTTTGCTCCTCGCCGTTAGTCTGTTTTAGGTTTGGCGTAAATAAGATAGTTGTACCGCCATTTTTCGTTCGGCTTTAGTACGCTATTTTATGGAAGGTGAGGAGTGTATTTGGGAATTTTATAATTGCAACCAATACAAATTAGTGGACTAGAATTTTGGAAAGTCTTCGCGGGAGCCCCGAGAGACCGGCTCACAAATCAAGTTCACCAATAAGCCTTTAAGCACACCTCTCAACTGTTCCCTGCTAGTTGGCATCACTTCAGTAGCCCATATGTGACAGTAGTAGTAGTACTCTATGTACGGCCGGTCTTGTGTTTTTTATAGGTTAAGAAGCTACCGTTATTTTATATTGGTTTATATATTATTTCACATACTCGTATACTCGTTATTTATATATTTTGTATGTGTTACCTACTCATCTCCGACTAAATAATTATCTCTCTTACTAATAATATAACAAAGTTTAACTGGCAGGGAACGCATTTATGGCATTAAATTCGCCATTGCATCAAAATATTTCCTACCGACTTCAAAAAGGAGGAGGTACTCAATTTGAATGTATTTTTTTGTGTGTGTTACTTCATAATTTCGCTCTACCTGAACTGATTTCGATGATTCTTTTTTTATTTGAAAGCTGGTACTTCTCATGTGGTTTCATATAAATTTGATCAAAGTCTGATCAATAGTTTTTGAGTTATCCTTAATAATATATATTGAAGTTGGTTGTACAAAGTTTTAAACTTTAAATTGTTGTGTAATAGAGAATTATTTTGTGAGATATATGCATCCTTGGGGCTGCCAATAGCATGTATACATTAATCTCTTTTACAGACGAATAAGCTAATTAACTTATTAGAGTACATGCTTGCTTCTGGTATAAAAATAAAATTACCTGTTCGTTCATATCCCTGTCCATATCTAGAGACTTCCAAAGCCTGCCTCCTTTTAGAATGCCTCCTCTGCGTCGCCTCAGAGGTGAACTCTCAGTTGACAATCTGCCCTCGCTATCAGCAACGTCGCTCTCTTCACCTAGAAAAAAAAATACTTTATTAATTTTGCTAAATAATCATGTTATGCAAAAATGGATGTGCGGTATGCAATATGCATAAAACACTTTTTTATCCTTATTTGTTTTTTATTGGATTACTAGGTGGATCCAGCATGCATTGCAAAGTCTCTTTTGTCAGAAATCTTTACTCGACAAAGTTTTATCATAAAGAAGCGCCTAGAAGACGAAACTACAAAAATATTTATTTGTTTTGTCAGATTCATTCGCGGGCGCGCATTCAACAACTCAATAAATTTTTGTGCTAATCGGATGAATGTGGTATAGAAACATTTAGAAGCCGAAGAAATAAACAAATATTTTTATTGTTGCAAGTTTTATTTTTATGTAAGTATATGATAAAATTTTGTATAGCTATGCGAATACTGATCACATTAACAGGAAATATAAAATTCAAGAACAACAGTACAGAAATTTAATATGAATCGTCTCTTTCGTAAATATATGACGAAATTATGTATGTTATACAACCGCGTGTGCGCCTGTTAGTAGTTATTAACCAAATGAATTCACATAATAAGTGTACATATCAGTTTTGTCGAGACGATGGTTAATACGAGTATCTGAGAGTTGGTACTATACTCACATTCACAATGGCTTTATTCACTATGTATTATGTTGGTTTAGTGCTAAAAATAGAATTCGGATTTAATGGCGGTTTTTTGACAAACGAGCACGCAGTATACCTTTGCTGTGGCCTACGCAGATGCGTTGCCCTGCGGAATAAGATGCAATGCCTCGTTTCCAGTAAAAAGGGTCTTCGGGTCTCTACGCTCACCATACAAAACACAGCAGCATTAAGCTATTATTTTACGTTGGTATTCTGTGAGAGTGTGGTCCTACCCCGGTCGAGCCGACCCACTCGTGCTACAATTAATACAGCTGCAACCACATATAAAACGCTATGTTCGAGTTATTAATAAACTTTCTATTTACACAGTAAAAAGGCCGAAGTAACTTCGGAGTGGAGCTCATGGCTCACCTCCCGGTTAGAGCAAAACAACATATGCCGGGTGACCTAGTAGTAGACCTAGCAGTACCGAGTAAGGCAGCCATCTATCGCAGACGCACCAGCAATTTCACTGGTGATGCAGTTGTGCATGAGCGGCGGTCGACCCTTATCTGACACGATCAGGTGAACTACATTCTCGTTTGCCGCCTCTTCTATAAAAAATATTCTATAGGAGAGTCTTGAATTAACAACTGGACAATTCTGAATTCTGAATTGATATAAATAGTCTCGTATGTCTGACATTCTTTAATGCGGTATTATATTTTCTGCTGCTACAATAATGTGCTTTTCATTTTCATAAAGCATTTCGAATGAAAGTAGAATGAACAGTTAAAATATTTATTCGTCTATAATTTATCGGCATTAAGCCTACCCGATGAAAGTATTTTAGCTCCAATCAATATTGAACGAAAAATGTATACATACCTACACATAAAACGATCAACAAATTGAAATTGAATTGAAAACATTGCTCGAGATTGCTTTCTTTGCTTTTGATTTTAATTCGTTCGTTCAACAACCAAGAACATACAAAGATATTAATTTAATTTACTGAGTTTATGTTTTAGAGTTTTAACTTCTTATTTATATGAAGTTAATGAATTATTGAAGCACGAGTTTATATTTATTATATGCGCAATAATTACATAATCAGATGTGGGCCTCGAGCGGAGTTACACGTGTAAGCTTTCTCAAGTATACTCAAGTACTAAATTAATACAGCTTACAGTTAGGCTGTTGTTTGGATAAGTTAATGGATAAATAAAGACACATTATATTTCTAAGGAGTGATTTTTCAATTAATAGATAAAAGTAAATTATAACTTGACTGAATATAGAAGTAAAGCTATTCAACTCTTTTATTCATGAGATTTTTAATTTGCTTAAGTAGGTTTGCAGCCTTTGGATAACATTTATCTGATGGTTGAAACATCAGCAAAAGGTTAATTTAATAACGAGTAGAGATAATTTAATGAAAGTAAGAACAAATCTTTGTATGGATTTGTAAATGGATAAAGAATTATCTATCAGAATCTGAATCTAAGATTCGTCTGACTGCTTAAGCGCAACGGCTGGCTGCCCAAAATATGAACGGATGCTACGACTTTGGTTCTAATCTTTGGTCAAAAAACCCAAATGAATGATTACAGGATAATAAGCTTTTTATATATATCATATTTTCAAACTATAGCTCTTATAGGTATAAAACTTGGCCAGAATATTATTTTTGGCATATGTATTAAATATTACTAAAACGGATTTTATTTTTATTAAAGTGCGAAGCCGGGGCGGATCGCTAGTTAAATATAAATCTATAACGAATATGACAGCCATTTGTAACTGTTGGGAATTTAGAGTTTCATGTTTCTGGCTCATCGGGAAGTTAGCTTAAAACCGATGCAAGCTTTGTAGCGTACAAACAGACAGGCAAGATAGAGAATTAAGAAGGATTTGTTAAAGTGAAAGCTAATGTACACTAAAAAATTTGGACTATTACGAAGAATAGAGCCACATATAATAGTGCATTCATTTTGGGGAATAATTGATAGGAAATGACGACTCAGTAGCATATTTCCTACGCGTTTCGCTGCAGCAATGCGAACCGTAGATTCAAATTCAGCACTTAATAGGTATTGTATGGCCTGCATCATCGATATCTGTCAAATATTATACCTCACTTTCTAGTGGCGCCGTCCTGGTGGCAGTAAAAGTCGTGGATGCCCTCATTGGCGACAGTTTTGCATGGGATTGTGTATTTAGTTTTTTTTAGTGATCGATGGTGAAGAGTAATAAATATACTTTGTCTTTTACTTTGACATTAGGTCGCATACCTGATCTTGAACGAAACATCACGTTTGTCCGAGGTCCCGATTATTGTAAATCAATTGACGTGAAAATTGATGATATTTTAAACATAAAATAGAATTAATAAAAAGTTAAAGACGTTTTAAATTCGATTTAAACTATATATTTGCTTATGAATAAACGCAATTATAAGTAAGTAGGTAAACAATGCCCAATTAGACAATTCATTTGGATTTGAATTGAATCGACTAAGACATCTTCTTTGCCCTTGGTAATAAAGTTTTCTTGTCAATTAACGTGAAGAAGTCTGCGGGAGACTAGCGCAATGTCCATTACCATGTAAATGACACTTTTCTTATTTGAAACGTTATGTTTGTTAAAATACTAGCTTGTAAGTTGTGACGTCCACACAATCAAGACCCACGCTTATTATGAGATCGAATAATACAGAGATCTTTATAAGTAGTCTAAGGCCTTTCGAATAGTAAAAACCGTTCTAACAATTTTTTTTCATGCAGAACATAAAGCCAAATTACCAATTTATATCGATCCACGTTTTTAGGTGGGTAGCATTGCAAAGTTACTGCAAAAGCTGAACCATTGTGCTGTCCATATTTATCATAAATTCGTTTTAAGGGTTTCCTCACCTCCTTGTTATTAAAAAAAAAACCATAACACTTTGTTAGATAATATTTCACTAACAAATATGAAATCGCCCCTTAAAATCCCGTAAAAGCAATACTTATAAACTGTAATACACTATTTCACCCTTTAAGGGTTTGCATTTTCCAAAATCCTTTATTAGTGAAGGCCTACGTAAAAAAGGAAGCTATTATCCAATCTCCCGCTTCTACATCCAGCGGTATTTATCCATACAAATTTGAACATCCTCTTAAAGGAGATCTTTAGAAAAATCGCAAAATACGTATTAATTGATTTTATTTACAGAGTACTTTCAGAAACTTTCAATCTCCCCGCAAAAATTACATACAACAACGCTATTTTACCCTCTTTGGGCTTGAATTTTTATTTCCAAAATATTTCTTAGTGAATACCTATGTAATAAAAGGAAGCTATTGTCCTCAATTCACGATTCTACGTCCAGCGGTGTTTTGTGTGTTAAAAACGAATCTCCGTTTTAAACCCTAAAGGGTATATTTTTTAAAATATAAAAATGGATATTTTATTATATTCTATCAACAGAATTTGTACTATTTCTTTTATTTTTAATAAATCAATAATTTTCTCAATCCGAATTCGGACACCCTCTGGCCACCCAGTAAAAGTTGTTTGGAAAGTTTTTTGATTAATAATTTGCGATGGGGTATTTTCATCTCATGCGAATTTCTTTATAGAGTTTGATCGAATTCTACCTTTGATAGCGTTCATTGTCTGTCTGGACCAGAAGCAGCCAGAGCTTTGTGCAAAGCAAATAAAATTTCAAATTCATATTCATTTATTTCTTACAATCACTGCAGTCAATTTTAGAATCACGGTAAAAAATATTTTACCGTGTTATATCCAATTTTTATATACCATTTATTGTTGAAAGTAATTTTTTAATTAAATACTACTGGATAAAACGCTGAATAAAACTGTGCGAACCAACAACAAACACAGTCAGCTTTTATTTTCTAACTAAAATTATACAATAAAAACGAAGAGAAAAAAGAAAAAAGAACTTTTAAATTGAATTAATTATTTATGTACCAAGTAGTTACATAAAAATAAATGTTATTTACTTGTAAGAGGAGGCGGCATATCTGTTTGGGTCTCTTCTATGCACGTTTCCGGAGGGCATTCTGTAACAAACGAAATATATTTAGGTAAGTTTAGAAACGTAACATAACATCGTAATAAATTGTCTCTTAAATAAGATTTGTATTATAATATAATTTCTGTACTCCTAAATGCTTTAAAATAATCCTTGAAGAAAAAGATTATAAACGAACGTGATTGCGGGCACAGCTAGTTACGGAAGCGATAATGACATGTGGTTTCAAGAAGACCAGCGCATTATCGCCCTGTAATAGATTTCCTAGATCAAAAACACCCAGACATATATGTGGGATCGGGTGGTCTGGTACAATGTCGTGGCTAGCCCGTTCACCTTACTAAAATCCACTAGATTTCTTTTACATTAAACCGTGATAGAAACGTGTGTGTACTCTAAAAGTTTGTGTGTTTAATGCGTATACTGGTTTTTCCTATTTTACCCACATGTTTTTTAAACAGCTAAGCAGTCTAAGGTGTTTGTATTTTATAATTTAAATGTGTCTAAACAAACGGTTCTTTATTTTCTTCTTTCAAATCAGTCAGAAACTTAATCTAGCTACGATAAAAAATGCGGAAGCCGTTGAAGACATCATCTTTGGAGTACGCCTTGTCTAATAAATATTTTTAACTCAATATAGGGTTAAAGGCAAACAATTTGAACATTTGTTAGTAGTTGAATAAACTTTTGTTCCTAACAATAGAATTTTTTTAAAACTTAAACCGAAAAACTTGGTCTGTTTTTTTATTAATTAGTATCTTTCTCACTGAAACTTGTATTTTAAGCTTACAGACTAAGATAAAGGCTGGTTTACCAAGAAAAATTTTAACAAAGTAAAAAAAAAATCTTCAAATCGGGTTTCTTGATAAAAAAATAGTTTTGGGATTCACATTAAATTATACAGTCTTTTAAATTCACTTGCCATAAAAGCGTAGTAATTTTTTTCAGTACAGACAGTTTTAACTTTATGTATTTGATTGTGCAAAAAACTGATGCTGTTTTTATAACGATGGCAGTTGTGTTTTAATTTTAGACAGGGGTAATTTATAGTTGAATCACAAAAAAAAAATACAAAATTAAAGATTTGTAGTCAAAGTATTTGAATGGTCATGACGGAATATTAATTTATTTTGATATTTTTTTGAATGATTATAAATTTAAAATTACATGACCCGCTTCACTTGCCTTTTATAGTAAGAATGAAAAAAGTTGACCTTGTGATAAAATAAGATGTTAAGTAGTATTAGTTAAGTAGTATTATACTTATTTCTAAAAACTTGTTTCAATATTTACACACAAACACTAAATTACGCGTTTAGTTTTTTAATTTATGAGACACCTATAACTTATGAGTTACATATATAGTTTTCATAGTAAGTCAGTATAGTTTTCAGACTCATAGTTTTGTTACTTCCTAAGGAATAAAACCTTATTTAGTTTTATCAGGGTTAATATAACTAGAAATAAAATATTACTGATAAATATAATTACCGTGTATTGGCGGTATAAGGATATCCACTACCCTTACCATTACCGTAGCGGGGGAGTCGTAAGAGGCAACAGAGAGGAAAAGAAAATGTGATAGACAGCAGCGTTTTCCCAATAATAACTAAAATGTAAGATTGCGGTTGTAACTATGGCATATATCCCTTCCATAAGAAAATGTATGGGGGATGCCTATGTTCAGCTGTGGACTTTGATAGGCTGTAATGAATGTATGGATGAATATCCTTTTCAATATGAATTTAAAAAAATGCGAGGTCAACGACTCCTGGAACATTAGATCTAAATTCTATACAAACAAATAAAATTGAAGTGTCTGTTTGGAATTTCAAAGTAACAGCTTTTTACTAGATGCATAATATGAAAGTATATACGATACTTATAACAAAAAAAATTTTAGGTAGATTTTGTCTGTCTGTCTGTTTGTTCCGGCTAATCTTAGAAACGGCTGTACCTACTTTGACGGGACTTTCACGAGCAGAGACCTTTATTTTGGAAAAATAATTAGGGGCCCGCGCAAAAAAATTCACACCCATGAAATTGTGAACAAAATCTGATTCAATAAGAAGTATGGTAATAAATTACTAAAAACTATGCGTACCAAGTTGCAGGCACAGCTAGTTCTTTTAATATATAAATATATACATACTACACCCTAAAACCCCTCGATTTTTGGAGCTGTCACGCAATAAATTAAATAAGATGTATAAATCAAAAAGAGATTTCCCTTCCTCTTCTTCTTCTTCTTCTACATATTCATTGAGATTGAGAGAGAGATGATTCATGAGGATTTTTTTTACTTGTCACTTCTTGTCTTCATGTCTTGATTTGTTTATACTATTTCCCATATTCGATTAACATAGTGACAATTTACCATAGTGATCTATCTGTCATTTCTCATCTGTCTCTTACGAGACCCATGGTGTGAAATGTGGTACTGGGTTCTCTTACATCGCCACCATACGGTAATTTTCCTTCACCTACATTAATTGGTAATAGCCAGCAAGCAAACAATAGCTTGGTCAATAGACGTTGTTTCAAATTATACCTTCTTTATATATTGGATACGTAAAGTTTTCTTATTTATTTAAAAATCTGCAAGCTCTGATTCCAAAGTGAGATTTGATATCCGTTTCCCCGATCGTTGTTGAATACATTGTGTATTGTTCAATAGATAGGTGGTATTGTTAAAACGACAAATAATTAAAAACGTAGAATGTACAGAGTAACCTTCGTTTAAGAGTAATTTTAAAACAATATAGATTTTTTTAAACGGTCTACTAAAACTTCATCTGTTTTCAGTTTTCTAGTTATGTTGCGTAATATGCAACAAACAGCGTTTACTATTCATAAAAGGCTTAAAACTGGAGACGGCTGTTGAATAGTTTAACAATTTAGTTAAAGTTCTACTAAAACGTCATTGTTATAGTTAAAGGTCTACTAAAACGTCATCTGTTTCCCGTTTTCGAGTTATTTTGCGTAATATGCAACAAACAGCGTTTACTATTCATAAAAGGCTTAAAACTGGAGACGGCTGTTGAATAGTTTAACAATTTAGTTAAAGTTTTTAGGATACAATACCGCACTCTAACAGTTTCCCTGTCCGCGAAATAGACACAATAGTTAAACAATTGAAATGTTCATAATATATGATTCATGGATCAGTGAAACAACTCTTTGGCCTATTTATGTTATGTTATGTTTCATCTCGTCACTTTTAAATACACTATGTGAAATGCCAGGAACATCTCCGTTAAATTGCGGGATAAAATTAATAAGTAAGTGCCAGCCGAGGCCTGATCATAATCATCATCATTACAGCCCTTCACAAGTCCACTGCTGAACATAGGCCTCCCCCAAAGTATGCCACAAAGCACGGTCCTGAGCCACCTGCATCCATCGACTTCCTGCATATCTTACCAGGTCGTCACTCCATCTAGTGGGGGGACGCCCAACACTTCGCCTGCCGGTACGAGACTGCCACTCGAGAACCTTTCTTCCCCATCGGTTGTCGGTTCTTCGAGCTATATGGCCGGCCCATTGCCACTTCAGCTTACTAATCCGTTGGGCTATGTCGATCACTCTGGTTCTACTGCGGATATCCTCATTTCTGAGTTTATCACGCAGAGAAACTCCAAGCATATCCCTCTCCATAGCTCGCTGAGCGACCTTGAGCTTCCTCATCCGGCCAGCAGTGAAGGACCACGTCTCAGTTCCGTATGTCATCACTGGCAACACGCACTGGTTGTACAGTCTCGTTTTCAAGTTTTGAGGTATACCTGACGAGAAGATATGCCGTCTGATGCTATACAGAAATTGTGTAAATGAGTGCGTGCGTCATTCGAGGTCTCAAATTATAAAGAGCACTACAAATGTTACATTCACATAATGTCACTGATTGTAGATAAATAAAAGCACACTTTATATGACATTGTATAGTGAAATTACTTATTAATATATATTTGATACGACTTAGGGACCTTCAAGAAAAGAGCCTACTCCTTTTTAAAAGGCCGGCAACGCATCTGCAATTCCCCTGGGGTTGCGGTTGTTCATGGGCGGCGGTAGTCACTTACCATCAAGTGAGCTGCATGCTCGTTTGCCCCCTCTCCTATAAAATATATATATATAACATTCATAATTAGATTTGGCAATCTTTTAAGTTTTAATATTAGTCTCTACTTAAGGCTGCACACAAAGCAAAGTCACGCAAAGTCGAATTAAATGGTATTATTGTAAACCAAGTTCAAGCTCGTAGACAAAGATAATTAAAATTTAAGATACTTAGTCCATTATGATTGAAGTGCTGTAATTTTTTAAATACTTAATGGAATAACATTTTATTCACTATTTTTCGGCTATTTTCTGTTCTCAAGTGGTGCGGATGTTAGGGACAAAAGTTAAAAGAAGATATAATATGCAAACACTAACTACTGAATCTGTTTTACTAAGGATTTTTTAAAATTGATATAATTTACGAGTGTCCATAATTTTGGCGCATATAACGTTTCTATTCCGCAAAAGATACGGTCGTATAACTCAACTCGAACTCGAAGACGAACTACATGCATGTATTTGATTCGCCTTCGCCCTGTTTCGCGGATCAATGAATGATGATTGGCAATCAGCCAAAATTGCTCCGTAGAGACGGGGGCTTTGTGATCTTATTATAATTTTAATTTAATGTTTTGAAGTAATTTACAGTAAAAGTTTTAAACATATTTCTATGTAAGTAATAAAATACAACAGTTCTTTATTAAAAAAAAACAATAACGATAAATATTATGTGAACTTATAAATAGTTAGTTTAAGTCTAAAGTAAGTTTTGTTTACAATATATTCAATCCTTTGAGGATATTTTGTGTCTATAAATCAATATATTTGTAGCATGGACGTATAAAAAAAGGCGAAAAGAACTTTGTTAAGAAAGAACTGATGCACTGCAATGGCGGCGGTGCAAGTATGTTTGCGTGCAATAAGGGAT